GAGTAAAGTTTGAAGAGTAAAGCCAAATTCACTTTTACTAGCCTGATGGGCACTGAAAATATTAGTCACCAAATGAATCCCAACAAATAACAATAATTGACTGGCTCATTGATGTATTTCCCCTTGTCTTCCCCAACCTTTCTAACGAGTCAGAAAGGAAAGTTTTCATATTTTCTGAGAATCTCATTAGTGCTCTCAAACCATACTCTGTATCTTAGTATATTAAAAAAAATGAGTCAGCACAAGCACTTCAGAAAACTAGCAGTGCATAGAATATGGAAATATTTCTCTTCACAGCAGAAATCTGGGAAAATAAAAAGAGTTACTCAGAGTGCCAAAGGCAAGGTAAGAATAAATGGACAGTGAGTGTTGGAGTAGATTTTGCAAGCTGGCTTCCAAAAGATAAATACATGTTCTTTATTAATCAATATATGTATTTTTCATTTCAAGAGTGTCATAATACATGAGAATGGATGTAATTATTAGGAATAAACCCAAAGAAGTAACTATTCAGTATATGACAAATTATAATGTCTCCTTTCTTGAATACTGGAGGGGAAATGGGAGGTTAAGATACTCTATGTATTAAACTTATTTGCAAATTGCATAATGTATAACTGCATACATGCTAATGCAAGTACTGTTTTTAGTATTGTCATCCAAAAGAAAATTTAGGAGAGCTAAGCAGCCCTAAACTGTGAACATATTTGAATGCCAATTTAGTTAAGAGTTTATTTAGTTATTACACTTCTTAGAATAAAGTTAGTTGAAGGCCCAGAAGAGACCACTAGCTTCAATCACTGAAACAATATTATTACACACTCCTTTCAAGAATGTACTTCTCCTCGACTCATACTCCAACACTTACACAAACGGTAACCCAGCACATGAAAGTTACTCAGGAGGGTCAAGGAAGAGTTTTACGGCTCAGGGTGATTCCTCCAAAATTCTACCACCATACCCTAAATTTCTCTTTGTTCTAATACTTAACTCCTTCATAACATTCTGCATGGCTTTCAGGTGAAGCCAGAAGAACTGCTACTGTCCCTGCTTCATCCATGGGGTTCTATGTCATATAAAGCTTGGGCAACCCTTCTTTAAAGGCTCACATCCAAGGTCCCACGTAACATGTTTCAACTGTATCTTAGTGCTGTGCATTGTTTGGTTACTGGGAGGAAGCAGAGGGCAGCAGCCCCCTTTTTTGTTGTTAACTGCATTCTTCTTGTTAAGATTTCCTTTCCTGCAAGGCTGCTAAACCTTGAAGAGAATTGTGGAAAGACCGAGGAATGTCTTGTCTTCCCGACTAGGTATCCAGACTGGACTTAGTAGCTAACTGTCATGAAGCAGTGCAACAGGTGAGAGACAAACCACATGGCATCTGATGCTTGTCTTTGTTTAAAATTAAAATGTGACACTCTGAAGGTTCATGTGCGGACCTAATTTTGAAAATACAAACAGGAAGCACCCCCACCCCAATATTACCATTAAAAAAAAAAAGGAAACCAAACCTCAAAGATACCTTCCAAGGAAGTCATGGGTGTGACCAAAACTAACAAAAGTAATAAAACGTCATCTAAAACTCTGAAACCACTAAAAGTGAGGGTCTCATTCAATCAACTAAAAATCTAACACCTGTAAATGACTCCTTTCTTCGATTAGTGAAAATAGCTTATATAAAATCTTCTGATATAAAACCTTCTCCAGTCTGGCTTAGGTTTTTCAGTAGTAAAGAATCATCACTAATGTAAAAAAATCCAACATCAATAGTCTCCTTAAAATAAGGACATGCTAATTAAGAGTGAATACAATTTTCAAAACAAAACCAAACCTTTTTATCACTGTGATGCTCACAATTTAAAGGTACAAAAAAACTGTCAGATCAATGGAAACTAGATTGTTCAATTTGACTTTCTATTCCCACAAATAAGCATAAAACTTGTGTTTCCAACATTACAGGGGAAAAAATACTTCTGATTTTAGAACAGTTCTATTAACAAAGCTCAGATTTAAAGAAAAGTTTTTTCCTTGAAACACCACACAAAATTGGGGACAGTGATACTTTAGAGTTAACAGATTATTTTTATTAAGTTCCAAACTATTTGGATCCTTTATTATGTGGTAAAAGGACATTTTTCTGAAGAGCTCAGTAACCTAGAATTATCAGGTAACTTTTTAAAAGAATAACTTTCAAATGCTCAAAACAGATTAATAAAAATGGGAGGTCTTTGCTTCCTTCTGTAGGAATAATGCGGTAATCTGTACTCTCATAGAAAGGAAAAATGTGTCACGGGTAATTAGAAGGTACAGAAATCTGTGAGTACTTTACGAATACCTACGTGTTTGTAGTGCACTAGAATAGTTACCTTTTTTTTTATTCTACCTTCAACCTGCAATCAAATCTTGGGCATATAATTCCCCTACTTATAACATCCTCCTTTTATGAGACTACCCGTATTACCTACCTCTTTAAAAATAAGCCAAATGAACCGCCACAAAAACATTCATAAATATAAACCTAACATAAGGCACAAATAATTTTAATATAACTTGAAATAATTTTACTATAACTTTTAAAAAACTGACATAAGTCCCAAAAGAGCAATAACTGACATCTTTTACTAGTCTTGGTGTGCTTTTTTTGCATATATAATTAACATTTTCAAAAAGCCAATTGGGAACAAGAAAATGAAGATGAAATGAGAAGTTGGGGCACAATAGGAAGTGCTGACCAAAATATTTATGTTGTAACCCTCCAAACAATGATAGCAGTGTTTTCCTCTTCCACCGCACATATCCTGAAGTGCCCATTTAAGAAACACATCCACCTTAGATTTCTTAACATAATCCATATTTGCATCCTGTTGGCAAAAATGTGAACCCTGAAAAGGCAGGAACTAGTGAGAAGGTGGGATACACTCTTTAGCTGGATATACAGGGATACAGCGAAGATTTTATGTAGACTTTAGCACCAAGTTATGCAATAACCAAACTGCTGGTGATAGGAATCAACTCTTTTTTTTTTTTTTTTCTGATGTTTTTAAAGAAAGGTCTCTTCATTCTTTCCTTTATGTCTCAATCATGTGCTTGAAATGTTCATCTTGCAAAGGCTACAGAAAACAAGTCATCTACTAGGTAACACCTGACCAAAGGTGGGGCGCTCTTTTAATTAAACATGACAGACATTACAAATTGTCACACAGTAAAGTTTTCTGGGAATCAGCAGCCCCTTTCCCATTTACGCTCTCAATTCTAATGGCTGTGATCTTCCATGAGATGGAAATTGGTACCAACACAAGCAAAACATCAGAGCCTTAAAAATAAACCTTCAAATGGTGGAGGTTCATTTGCAATGATCAGGACCAATCCAATGTTCACAGTCTTACAAAATAAAATTTAAAAAATATGAAAGGCACACTAAATAAAATATATCCTCTCCTAAAAACTATAGCAAATGACTATAAACAATAGAAACATATGTTTAAGAACAGAGGAGCCTTGTGAAAAGAGGCAAAGCCCTATTATCTTAATTGAATGATAACAAAATTATTTGAGATAATATACTCAACAGCTGAAAGCTTATTATGGCCTAGGCGGCTATCCAACCACTTTGGAAACCTAAGATACGAGCAGATGATAAACACCATTTGAAGACTGAAAAAAAAAAAAAAAAAAAAGACGTAAGATCAGTTTATACTTTGGTGACATGCTAGCCTTTCAAAGGGCATTCCCCCAAAACATTTGAGAGTCAACTTATAAAACTGTACGTAGGCAAACACCTACTGCTTCACTGTGCTTTGGGAAGAGCACTTATCTGAGAATCCTCAGGCCGACATTTCAGTCCCTGAACTACCACACAGCTGTGTGTGCACTGTGCAAGCCACTCGCTCCACCCATCTGGGCCTCAGTTTCCTCATTTGTACCATCAAAGAATGTATGGAGCATCATCGCTGGGGTCCTCCCCAGACCTAACATTCTGTGACCCGCTTTTGGCACTGTTTATGTGATACAAAGCTATGACAGGACCACAGGGGACAGGAGGGAAAAAAACGTGGGCATGGCTCTTTGGGAAAGAGAGGACTGCTATCTCTTTTTGCCTTTAAAATTCTTGTGGTTTTCATTAATCTCATCTTCCTGAAAGCTGGTACTTGTTTTTCTTCGTTGCATTTTCCATCACTGCTGGCTGGCTGGCTACAAGTGTCTGCAATCGCTTCTTGCTGCACACAAGTTCTTTCCTCTTTGATCAGCCTTACCGTCTTGCCAGATTCCTTTAGCCTCAGACCAGCTTTTGTGACACACGACTCCCCTTCCTCCGACTCTCTGTATCTCCCCTGACGCTGGGAGCACTTTTTTACTCTCTATCGTGGGCTAGGAAAAAAGAGCACGCTGCATCCCACTGCCACGGCGCACGAGCCCAGGCCTGGCGGGTCCTGACGTGGGGTCCCGCACCCAGAGCCGCATCGAAATTTTCGCATTTGTTGCCTTGAGTCCTTATAAGGCACTGTTCCCTGAAGCTCTGCTAATAACTCCCACCCCACCGGGCACCCCCGGGCTCACGCCACCCCCGGGAGTCGCAGATACCTCTTTTGATAGAAGAAGGAAAAGCCAGAACGCGGCGGGGGCTATTCGGAACTGCACCAGGAAAGTGTGAGTGGCCGACGGCAGTCCTCTGGGCTCTCAGGGGTGTGCGCCGCGGTCCCGCACGCCCCCTCCCCAGACACGCGCGCCTGCACCGCCTAGGCTGTACACCTTCCGCCCGCCGCGGCCTCCACGCGACGCCCCTCGCGCTCCCAGGTCCCTCGCCCCCACCGCCCCCACCGCCCCCACCGCCCCCACCGCCCCTCACCCAGCGCGCAGCCACCGCGGCCGCCTCCCTGCCCGGGAGCGATGGCGGCGCGCGGCCCTGCCGGGCGTCTCGGCGGCCGGGGCGCGGGGCCCCGCCCGGAGGACTCCCCGGTCTCTCCCCCGGGCCCCGAGCCCAGGACCGGTCCCGCAGCTCCTACCTCGCTCGGCCCCTCGGGCGCCAGCGGCTGTCTCCCGCCCGCCTCTCGCTCGCTCCCTCTCTCGGCCGGGCCGCCGCACGGAGTCGCCTGCGCAGGATCCTCGCCCGGGTGACGGCTCCGGGCGCCGACTCTCCTAGCGCCGGGGCCCACGGGGGCGCGCGCGCCGCTCGCGCGCGGAGACCGGCCGCGCGCGCCGCCTGCCGCGCCGGCGCGCGCCGCTTCCTGGTTCCGCCTGGAGCGCGCTCGCGAGCCCCGCGGTCTCTCGCACCCCCTCCGCGGCCGCCCTGGAGGGATCGGGATCCCGCTCCGCGCACCCGGGGTGGCTGCACGCTCCAGGGGGCTGGCGCCGCGCGCAGCCCTTCGTAGCCGAGCTGGGGTGGCTTCCCCTCTCGGCTCCCCAGTCAGGTCCCACGGGGCACGAGCACATGCTGCTTTGCTTAGTGTCGACCACCACTAGCAGGGCTCTGGCCGGACTGTTGTGGTCACTGTGTCGCGGAGCTTGCCCCCCTCCGCCGCCCGCCCACCTCTCTTCCCCCTTGGCTGAGGCCCGCGTTCTGGGTCCTGTCCCTCCCAGGCCGAGGTCAGAAGTCCGCCGCTGTCCCATCAATAATTATCCCGGGTTTGCTCCCAGGAGGGCGTTTCAGCCAGGGCTCCTGCCGCTTACCACCCAGATGGCGGAAAGCCTGGACAGACACAGCACTTCACGTTCACTAAGGCCAACTGGATCAGTTCACTGTTCCGGAGTGAATCTATGGGGGCCAGGGGCTTCTGAGACCATTCTGTTCCCTGGGGAATTTGGCTAGCTCCCACCAGTCAGAGCTGCGGGAGGGGCTGACGGCTCTATCCAAAAAAGGAAGAATAAGCTGGGTCACTGCGATAGGATCCAGGGGAAAGCGGTCTCTGAGACCCTTTTCCATGTAATGGGGAGGGGGTGCGGTGTCTGAGAAGGCAGCCTGAGTCACCCACTCTCCTCTCCTCTGGGTACATCTCGGGAGCTGGCCAACGGTTTCCCTGGCAACCCTCCAAGGGCCAGCACCGAAGCAAGGCATGTGAGATCTCCAGAGCCCCAGCTGCAGGGGCAGAAGGAGGAGAAGAACCCCACACATGCACACAGAGGTCCCTTCTTTACCATCTGACAATCTTCTTGTCCAGGGATGACTCAGATCAGCAAGTCCCCAAGTTCTCCCATAATCCTCCTCTGGCAGCTCTTCCCAACAGCCTTCCCTTCACCTCCAGGATAACACCAGCCACAAAGATCCTTGTGTCGGTAGCTGATCACAAAGCCCTTCTCCCTGACCCAGGCTCCTGCTTCTATCCCACGCTCTGGGCCAACACCTGGCATAGTGCTTTGCACACACTAGGTTCAGGGAGCTTGGAGGCCAGAGCAGGACAGGCCTGAGCAGGAAGCTGGACAGAAGCTCCAGCCCTGAGCTCTCTGGCAACCTCTTTGACAGACACCGTCCACGATGTTTCCACACCAGGGCAACCACATTTCTCTTTCTTGTAAGCTTTCAAACCTGCGCAGACGCTCTTCCCTCTGCCTGGAATGTCCTCCTGCCCTCTTGATGTCTGCTCTTTGGTGACACTTGCTCCAGGCAGTAAGAACCTCGCCCTTCCTGTTCCCCACCACACCTTCATGCCTCTATTATGGCGCCTCTCATGTTGAAAGACAATTTGTTTACGTATTTCTCTACCCCCAACGGCAGACACAAGATCCCATTCCCCCTAAAACGCCTACCTCATGCCCAGGCCAGAGCAGACACCCAATAAATATTGGAGGAACAAACCCTGTGCTCTAGGAACAGAAATGGAAACCAGGAGGACTGTGTAGTAGCTACCAGCACAGGCTCTAAAACCAGGCACACTGTGAACTCCTTGAGCTGTGTCACCTTGAGCAAGTTTTCTGCCTCGATTTCCTTACTGTGATATCGTTATACTGATAGGACCTACCTCGTGTCATTCTGGGGAGGTAATGCATACAAAGTGCTTCCAGTGCTGTAATGCACCGTGGAGTGGTTAACTATTACAACGATTTTTAGCCACTGCTAAGATTTGCCCCCCTCTTCCTAGGACTGATTGGGGTGAGGACTCAGTCCAGTTGCCTCAGCTGCTGTGCCGCAGGGAGTTTGTCTGAATGCTCTGCAGGGTGGGGCTGGGAAGACTCTTTATTCTTCATCTCCTAGCACATATCTGACTGACCACGAGGTACCAGATAGAGCTGGCTGGCCGTGTGCACAGACAAGGACAGAATGTTCTGGGTCATTACCTCAGCAAAACAAGAATATTGTCAACCTGAGACAGGAAAGAAGGTCCAATACTTATCTCTGCCTACCTGCCATTTCAGATGAGGCGCCACTCTCTTCTCCTGGGTCTCAGGGGTATAATCCCCTAAACTGAGCGGACACCAGACTGAGACATGACACACAAGGAGTCCTAGAAAGAAAGAAATTGAACAGGAAGCTAGAATCCAGAAAGATCCTATAGCAAGCCCATAGAGAAAGGTCCCAGAGGCACCCTGTTCAGTGCAGCTCAATTGGTTGAGCGTTGTCCAGCAAAATAAAAGGTCACCAGTTCAATTCCTGGTCAAGGCGCATGCCTGGGTTGTAGGTTTTGCCCCTGGTTGGGGTGCATACGAGAGGCAACTGATGGATGTTTCTCTCCCTCTCTTTCTCTCTCCCTTCCCCTCTCTCTAAAAAAATAAATAAGTAAAATCTTTTTTGGAAAATATAAATAAATAAATATTTTTCTTTAAAAGAAAGGCCCCAGAGGACTACCTGCAGATGAAGAGATGTCCACAGGACAGAGTTGATGTCACCTCCTACCTAGCCCACGCCAGCCTGACCCAGAAGAGAAAGAGGCTCGAGGGACAGAGAGCCTGCAGGTCTGGTGGGCAGCCTTGTCCGTGACTCTGGCTTACTCTCCGCCAGGGCTCGACTCCAGCCTCCCTCCCTTGCTCCCGGGAACAATCACGTGCTGCCACAGAGAACAACGGGTCCCCCTCTTCACATGCCCCCCCAGCGCCACCCCGCTACAGGGAGGTCACGAAGTCATTTTCTGGAAATGTAATTGAAACCGCAACCACAATCCTCTCTAACCAGAGACCCACACTCATCTAGCTTCTCCCTCCAGACCTCTCTGGACCCCAGGAATCAGGTTGGCCCTGGGGGACCACTGGCCACGGCAGCCAAGGAAGGACACGTAGGAGCTTCCCTTCTTCCGTAACGGGTCTGATTCTTCCCTATTAAATTGGTACAGGCCCCTGGAGCCACGAGGAGGAGGCACTGGATACTCACCAGACAGGAAGGCAGAGACCCCTGGTCCCCAGGGCCTCAGACTAGAGGTTTGTCACCACCAGTGGTTCAGAAGGTGCTCCTTTGGCACCAGGGTTTATTCCTGGCGGAGGATGAGTGGGGAAAAGAGCTAAATTTTACAGTTAGACCTGGTTCCAGATCCCAGCTCTGCCAACTTGCCAGGCGTATGGCCTTAGTCAAAGCACTTCACGCCTCGGAGGGCCTCAGTTTCCCTCAGGGTAAGTTGCAGGCGCTAAAGTCTGGGGCGTGTCTGTGAATGCACGGAATCTTTCTGGGAGTACGCACAGGACCCTAGTAGCTGTGGTTGCCCCTGCAGAGGGGGCCCGGGGGACAGGCCAGGAGAGAGAAACGAGCTGTTCTACCATATGTCCTTTTGAATGTTTTAAATTTTGTACCATATACTGTGCTGCTTATTAAAACATTAGGAAAATGAACATTTTTTTAAAGGAAAAAGTAGAGAGAGTGATTATGAAAGTAACCAAGCATCATGCGTGGTTTGCAAAAGGTACTTGATATACGAACACTTTTTTCTCTTTTTAACCTCAGCCCAGCCCCAGGCAGTTTGCCGGGCCAGGAGGGGGCGGGCCTGGGGCTGGAGTAGGGGGACGGCATTCAAGGGGTGGATGTACACGTTCTTGTAGGACTCGCCACCTGGAAATTCTCACACGCTGCTCTCCCACTGATCCCTGTCTGCCTTACCTGCCTGGGCTCCCCTCCAGCCAGAGCCAAAAAAGTGGCTCCCTGGAAAGCCCCAGCCCCCGCCCCTCCACTCCCCACCTCCGGGGACAGGGTCACTGTGCCCTCTTCTCCCAGAGTCCTCAGGCAATGCTGCGTTATCCAGAGCAGGCGGGGCTGACACAGACGGGGCAGCTGAGTATCACCGCGGCCACTGTCTTGCAGGCGTGTCTGGTGGTTTGAGAACTCAAAAATCAGCCCAGTGCCAGGCAAAGACGAGGCTGCTGTTGCTGTTGCCATGAGCAGAAAAGCAGGTCAGTAGGACTAGAGCAGGTAGAGGCCACGGCGGCAGAGGAAAGAACCTTCTGGGTGCTGTGGGTCAGGAGGTATGAGAGGGAAACAGAGGTCTGCAAAGTGCAAGGGACTCTCTGAACCGTCAGAGTTTGAGGTAGCCCTGTGCTGTTCTAGAGATCTCCATTAACCTAACAAACGTCTATGCAGCCACTAATTTGAACCAAACATTGGGACACACCTCTTTAGGCTACTGGTTAGGGCCACACAAAGAGGCCTGCAATACAGGTAGAACTGAGAGGCTACAGGAATGCGGAAAAGAAAATGCCCAGCTCTACCGGCCAAGGTCTCTGAGCGCCTACTATGCGCTAGCCGCTTGAGTGAGTCTTCACAGCAATCCTGGGACTGGATTGGTCTTGCCCTCCTCCTTTTATAGAGGGGCTAGCCCAGCTCAGGAGGCAGATTTATGTGCCCAGGGTCACAAAGCAGTGCCGGGATTTGCACCAGGTCCTTGGGACTGCAGAGCCTCTGCATTCTTTCCCTATGCCACACTGACCCTGTGAAAGATAAGGAGGATGTCACCAGGTGGCTAAAGGAGGAACGGCATTCCAGGTAGGTGGAATGGAGGGGGCAAAGGCCTGGAGTTGAGAGAAGCCAGTGCCCTGGGGGGACTGCCTGGCGGACGCCCGGAGGCCCGCGAAGGCCCGTGCCTGTGGGGGAGGCTTGTGGGGGGAGCGGTGGCCGCAGCACTCGAAGACTAGGCCAGCAGCCAGTGAGGAGGGGACTGGGCATTGGCCTATTCTTCATTTTGGTTTCATATTCTCCACTTGCTCCTGGGGCTGAGGAGCCTATTTTTGAGGTTTGGAGTTGGGGAGAGGGTAGGGAAGATGTGGGTGGGTTTGTGCAGTAAGAAACCAGGGAACAATGAGAAACAGAGACCGGAAGAAGGGAATGCCCACCCTCCCACGTCATGACAAAGGAAAGTGGCAGGGCGGTGGGGGGTGGCAGGGAAGGAGATGCTCAGCCCTCTCCCACACAACCCCCAGAGGGCTTGAGGTTGGACACTGGGCTGGCGGAGCCACAAAAGCTTTCCTGTTAGGCTGGAAGGAGGAGAAACCAGCTCAGTGGGCCGAGGGGCCCGGTAGTCATTGTGGAGGCGGTGGGAGCAAGACCAGGCCCAGGCCTCCTCAGGACGGCAGGCGCCGCGGGCTCCGTGCTCGGTCCAGACGCCGCGCCCCCCCCACCCCCGCCCCCGCCTCGCCCCTTCCTCTCCCGGTCCTGCCTGCCTCGCTCCCCGGGCAGGTGGTAGGGCCACTGGGCAAAGGAAGGCAGGGTTTCCCCTCCCACCCACCTGGCAGTGCCACACTCCTCCTCTCACTCTATTCCCAGAAACAGAGGACAGTTGCTGCGCCTCAGGCAGGATGGCCTTGTGTTCTCTTGGTGACTTCATTGTAAATTGACTTCCCTGAAGAGTGGTAGAGGAATGGGGACAGAGGCGGGAAGAGGGAACAGGCTTCCCGCAGGACCCCACAGCTCTGTCCCCTGTGCCAAATCCGCACAAAATTCCTCACCCTGTGCACACACACACCTGCCCTTGGTCCTGCCCTGTCTTAACGAACAAGAACGGGGGCAGCGTTTCTACGGCCAGGCCCCAGGGTGAGGAGGCTCAGAGGGAGGCAGGGGCACTGGCCTTGGCGATGCGGTAGACGCTGAGGATGGGACTGCGGGCCCTTCCAGTCGCCTTGGGGGCGGGAGCTGGCATGGAGGTGGACAAGGCCCGCGGAGGCGAGGTTGGGGGCGGAGGCGAAACAGGACGTTTAAGAGCCCAAGGGCTTCAGCTCTCCTGTCTCTGCTGGACACAGAGATCCTGCCTGGAATGCCTCCAGCTTTCCTGGGAAGGCTCTTCCCCTCACCTCCCCTCCCCTCTGGCTCCCGCACAACAGGAACTCTCCTTAAGAAGGGACTTGCAGCAGAGGAAACAAAGGCATCTCTGTGCCATGTCCCGCTGCCCTCCCCAGGGCTGGTGAGGTCAAGGTGACCTCCACCTGTTCTTCCCAGGGTTGTGGCATCAGCAGAGCCTCACTTGCTGGTCTTCAAGGACAGGGCAGAAATGAGACTTGGGCAAATTCTTCCCTTGCTCCCTAAACACAAACCAATGCACAGGTCACACTTGCCTCATTCCACAGAGCAGGGCCCTGGACTGACTGGGAGATTGAAGCGCCCCCATGAAGCAACACAGAGCCATCACGGGCTAGCCCAGTCAAAGGAGGCATCTGCATTCTGCGGATGTGTGCTGGGGTCGTGGGAAGTCAAGAACCGTTGGACTGAGACCCCTTCCCACGGGGCCAGGCAGTGTGGATCCTGGAGCCACCTGTGCACTTGCCAGCCAGACAAACGTGGACAAGTTTCTTTGCCGAACCAATTCCGGGGGATGATTCTGGTCCTGCCTACCTTCAAGGTTATTACAAGGATGCGTTGAGTTGGAGAATGCAAACGTGTTCGTGCACAGATGCGCCATGGTCCCACTCAGGGTCTGTGCCTGCTGTGCTACCTACAGGTTAGGTCGGGAATCATTATTACTCCCAATAAAATATGGTCAGTCTTCTCTGAGGGAATGTATTCCCATAAGACTTTTAAACTTTACTGTATTTGATATTATTTTTATCCGTAAGATTTTTTTTAATCCTTCCTCATTCCCCATGTAATGCTGTGACTTGGAATTGGGATGAAGGGCAATTACAGGGGGCCATCCTGGGACCCCCAGCCTCGGCCCAGATCCCAGGTAGTTTCTGGCCTCCCTGAACCCCATCCCCTGAGCCTCAGTTTTTCTCCTCTATAGTCTGGGCCCCTAAAACCAGCAGCGTGCTTTGTAGCGAGAAATAGCAGAGATCTAAACCAGGGGACTGAAGCAAAAAGAAACACCAGATTGGCCATTTCTGGGTAGTTGTGTTATCCGGAGCTGTGACCACAGTCACCTCTGCCCCCAACCCAACTCTGACACCCTTCCCTCTTCCACTCCCTTGGGTGGCCTTTGCCCATCCTGGGAAAGCTCCAAAGCTCCTCCCTTTCCCACTGCATCTCTGAGGGAGGACAGAAGCCCCAAGAAATGGAGAGAAGCCCAGAAAGAATCAAACAGAGAACAAGACAGAGACCTAGAGAGAGAGAGTCCAAAGGAGAAGAAGAAAGGATCAAAAAGCAAGAGGAGGAAATGTGCAATGAAGAACACCGTGATTCACAACTTCACCGCCTGAGGGGCCACATAGGGACAGCCAGAGCTTGGCCAGGGAAACAGCTGGACACAGAGTGGGGAGGGGGGCACCGGGGGCTCCGAAGGTCCTGGGCCACATCCGTTTAGCTCCACCCCTCCAGCTTTGTTCACTGGCCCCTCTGTGCTAGCTTTTCAGACCCGGGACTACCCACCCCTAACCCAGCTCAGTCCAACCCGTCCAGACACTCTGCGGGCGGGGCTGCCAGTGAGGGCAGCAGGCCCCCCGAAGGCCCTGGGGAGGGGGCCGGAGAGGGGGCTGCCTGGAAGTCAGCACACAGGGCTCCCACCTGGAGTTGGCACCCTCATATCACCCTCTCCAGGGGCCCAGGTGCGGGTGTATGGCAAGGACGGTCTCCTGCCCTGCAGACGCGACTCAGGGGACGTGGAAATCCAAGGAATCTGCTCCCACCCTCTGACTTACCCACCTGCTCAAAACGAGAGGCTGGAGGGCACAGGTACCACGCTGGGTCACCCTCCATGCAGCCATGGCTCTGGACCTGCCCCTGACGGACTATGTGACACTGGCCAAGTCACTTCCCCTCTCCAGCCTCTGTTTAGCCATTTGTAAAGTCATCTTTATAGTTGTCTCCGGCTCTGACACTTGACCCTCATTGCAGATGGTTCCCCGCCCCCCCCCCCTTCTGGGCGTCAGAACCTCCCCTGCCAAACCCACCGCACAGAGTGCGCACGGAGACGGGGAGAGGCGCTGCGCTTCCTCCTCCCCAGGGCTCCCCTGGGGAACATCTAAAGGGCAAGGTTTCCTCGGTCCTTCACGCACCCCCTTACAGTTCTCCATTCCTTTCCTTGTGATCCCGTCCACCAAGACCGTGACCACACGTGGGAGTGTGTAGGGGACCCAGCCATTCCAGTTTCTGGAGCTTTCAACTTCAGTTTTTCTCTGAAGTGAAAAGAATGAAAGTGAGGAGCTGGTGCGGGGCAGGAAAGTAGGGAAGTGGAGGGGGAAGGGAATGGAGGGGAAAGGGCAGGTCTACAAAGGCATTAGGGAGAGATGGTGGGAGAGAGTGACCCCCCCAGGACACAGTCTTGGCCCAGCTGGGCCCGTCCTTTGGTGCTGCCAATCCTGGCTGCCAGGCAGAAGGAGGCCCAGAGGAGAGGGAAGCTGGGGAAAGGGGGTGGAAGGCTTCCAGCCCAGCCTTGCCCAACTCTTCAGGCCCCCAAGGGGGCTCTCAGGGAGGGGCTGTGACCCAGGCCAGGCTCAGGGAGGGTGTTTCCCGGCTCTGGCAAGGCCTATAGGCTGTCGTGAGCTAGTGAGGACTGAAGACAGCCCTCTCTGGACCCTTCTGAAGGTAGGACCAGCCTCCGATTTGACTGGGTTGGGGTAACGGGAGGAGAAGAATCATTTATGGATCATAGTTTGCCAACTAGACCGTGTACCCCCTGCATCACACTGGGCAAGCCCCTGTCCCTCTCTGGACTTCCATTGCTTATCTGCAGAATCTGGGGGCGGGGGGGTTGGTTCTGAACACATGACTGCCAAGGTTCTTTCCTGTTTCAGCTGCAGAAGATGAGAGCAAGGTGGTGAGAGTAGTGGAAGGGGGTGGGGGGCCCCCATGTGAGCTGGCTTCGCTGGAATCCCCAGTCTTTCCCCCTCCTAGGGCTTTGCCTCTGAAGTCACAAAAGCTGTGTCCCCAACCCACAGAAACACACGCACACTCATTTACTTTCTTAGTAGAGAGACTCGAAAGATGACAAATGCCGGAGTTGGACAGCATCTCCAGCTAGTCCAACCTTCCTTCCTCCCTTTTCACAGATGAGAAAACTGAGGCCCGGGTCTGGGATTTCCAGAGCCCGGGATTTCCCGGTCCTCCCACCCCATTTACGCGCCACTCCTGAGCCTCTTGCTCGCCACGGTCCGGGGCCGCGGGAGGAACAGGCTGGGACTCCCGGGGGACCCCGCCGTCGGGGCAGCCCCCACGCCCGGCGCCGCCCAGCCTCACCGCGCGGGGCCCCGGCCGAGGCCGCCGCTGCGCACTCGCCGGGGAGCTAGCGACCGAGGGCGGAGGCGGGGAGGGAACGACAGAGGCTGGGAGGGGTGTTGGCGAGAGCTCGCGCGCTGTGTATGGTCTATCGGAGGCAGCTGACCTTTGAGGAGGAAATCGCTGCTCTCTGCTCCTTCCTGTAGTAACAGCCGCCGCCGCAGCCGCCAGGAGCCCGGGCCGGGAGCGAGAGCCGCCGGCGCAGAGCGGCCCCGCCGCCGGACGGCTCGGTGCCACCAGGTGGGTGGCCGGGTAGCGCGCCCCGGTCGGCGCGCGCGGTGAAGGGACACTCAACTCCGGTCCCGGCCCCGCGCCCCGGGACCCAAAGCCCGACGGCCGGGCGGGGCGTAGGGAAAGATCTCCGCCACCGAGAGGGAGTTTAGGCGCAGCGCGGACGAGGGACAGGGGACGAGGATGGAAGGCAGGCGGCGCGGATGCGCGGCGTCCTCGCCCGCAGTGGGCAGGGGGCGCTGTCGGGCCGGACAGGGGGAGACCACGGGGCACGACCGCCGGAGAGAGGCTGCCTCCCCAGCCCTCTTTTAACAACACTAGCCACGTGCCCGCGGAGCCCCAGCCGTCCAGGGGACGCCGTCGGCGGCGTTCCTTGGGGCTGGACTCTCCCCGCTTTCCCAGAAACTGGTCCCCAGGGTTCGAGGCAGGTAGGGGCATTCTTGCAGCCCTCCGCAGAGGGCCGTGGGCCTCCGCCGTCAAGTTTCTCTTTCAGTTTTTCGCTGTCCCCCTCTGGGGAAGCCCCGGTGGGGCGAGGGGAGAGGAAGAGGAGGAGGGCACCTGACTTTCGAGAGCCCCTCCCCAAGCCTCAGCGGGTTCCTTGTTGGAGGGCAGGGCGCGCCTTCCCCTCCTCACCATCTTTCTTCCCGCACAGGAAAGTGTGTCTGTGGGAGGGGAGGGGCCTGGCCTGACCGCGGTCCAGGCATGGGTGGGCACCGCGGGCCAGGGGCAGGCCCAGCCTCGCCGCTGCCGGGGAGGCGCCTGCTCAGCCCTCTGCTCGCCCTAGGTGAACGGCCATGGCGGGCTGGATCCAGGCCCAGCAGCTGCAGGGAGATGCCCTGCGCCAGATGCAGGGGCTCTACGGGCAGCACTTCCCCATCGAGGTCCGGCACTACTTAGCGCAGTGGATCGAGAGCCAGCCGTGGTAGGTACCCCTGTCTTCCTCCGCGGGCCCTGCCGTGCAGGCCCCTTGGCCTTTAGGCCTCTGCTTTTGTGGTTTGATGTGATTCTGGCCCTGTTTGTCCTTTTCTGTGCGGAAAGGGCTGTGTTCTTGGGAAAGGGGAACAGGGAAAGGGAGAGGGGATGTTTCTAGATTCTGATGCCTGTGGAGCTGCCAGGAACAAGTCTTGTGGCCTCTGGAGTGACCTTAGGCGGGAGCCTTGGGATTTCCACGTCCCTCCTGGTGTCTGACTTCCTGGCCAAGGAGGTACCACAGCAGGCTTCTCTCCCTTGCCCTGCTCCAAGGGATGCCATCGATCAAGAAAATCCCCAGGACCAAGCCCAGGCCACCCAGCTCCTGGAGGGCCTGGTGCAGGAGCTGCAGAAGAAGGCCGAGCACCAGGTGGGGGAAGACGGGTTCCTGCTGAAGATCAAGCTGGGGCACTATGCCACGCAGCTCCAGGTGGGTGCGAAGGCTGGGCCGTCTGCAGGGAAGCAGCGGCCGCCTTCTCTTTCCAGCACCAGAAGCCCTGGGTTTTTCCTGGCCTGGCCACTGACTCACCGCGTGACCCCGAGCTTCTCGGCAACTTTTCGGCGCTTCGATTTCCCCCGCCCCCTCTCTCTCCGTCAGACCCCTTGGATTCCTTCGGCCCGTTACAAAGCAAGGGGTGGCACGGGCTTGTTCCCGAGGCAAGGGGGTGCCTGAAACGGGCTCCCGGCCGGGCCCGGCAGAAGGGATGGAGGCAGACGGAGTCTCGGAAGGCCGCCAGGTTCTAGAACTGGGGGGATGAGGCAGCCAGACGTGCGCGTTGGGGCTCTTTCAAAGGTGGGCGAGCTCTTGGAGTGGGGCAGGAGGGGGCAGAGTTGACCTGGAGGCGAAACCTTGAGCTGGGTTTAGATGTAAGATGTAGCTGCTGCTTCCCAGGGAGTGGAGGGTGGGGGGTGTCGGGGAGAGAGGAGGTTTGTGTGGAAGCAGGAAAGGGGTGTGTGCGGTGACCCTCGTGAAGCACTTATTAGAGCCACGAGTGTCTCTCAGGGCACCATTCTTCGGTACAAGCAGCAGGTGCCAGGAGAACGAAGAGCCCGCCCCAGGAGAGTGAGGAGGCGGGAGACACCTGGGGTGGAGAGGGAGGCGGCCTAGGCACCCAGAGCGGGAGCCCTGAGGAAAGCACCGTGACCTGGGCGTCAGGCGCTGAGTCTTGAGTCATCTGCTCACGCACTGGCTCGTCTCTGGACAAGTACTCGCGCTCTCTGAGCGCCAGTTTTCTCACCTTTGAAACGGGGATAGCCATTTCTGCGGGGATGGCACAAGGTTTCTGTGTCACAGGAGGTGGTCTATTGGAAGTGCTTTGTAAACTGTGGTTTTCTAAGGCACTGCAAAGCCAGTGAAGATGTGGGAGGGGAAATCGAGTCAGGGCGCGAGAGAGGCGTCTGGCCTGAGAGTGGCCGAGGCTTCGGGGAAAGCGAGGCGGGGCCGGGGGAGAGGAAGGTGTGGGCGTGGCCCCGCGGCGGGCACGGTGGGCGCCGAGGGTGGCCACTGGCCGCTGCTCTCGGGTTCTTTCAGAACACGTATGACCGCTGCCCCATGGATCTGGTCCGCTGCATCCGGCACATTCTCTACAACGAACAGAGGCTGGTCCGCGAAGCCAACAACGTGAGTGTCCCACGGGGCAGGGAGAGGGGTTGGGAAGTCCCTTCTCTGCAGGCGCAACTGCGGTTTATAAACACTGGCGTGAGAAAGCACCGCAGAAACGAGAGGCAGGAGCCCGCGTGAGGCGCAGTGTTCGCTGCAGGTGTAGAGACCCCCGGCTTCCGTCCCTGGCTCGACGGCTTGCCGGCCGTGTAACGTGAGCGAGCGCCGGAACGTCTCGAGCCTGTGTCTCCGCGGTGGGAAGTAGGGGCCGCCCTAGCCCCTGCCCTGCAGGACGGTCGTGTGGGCCAGGGAGAGACACGCGATCGATCGATCGGTGAGACAGCAGAGGGAGCCTAAACACACAGCCCCCACTCACACGCACCTGGAAACGCAGACCACGCCGGGGAAGGCTTTACAAGCCGCCAGGGGAAATGTTTGTCGTTCACTGAGTCGGGTCGGTGCGACTCGATGAGAAGCAGTGGATGGGAGGCAGCGTCTGGGGCGGCCCGTGTCAGAGGCGCGAACGCGGGCGGGCTGAGGGCGGAGAGGCCCAGGGGGGCAGAAGGGGGGCTCGCGCCCCAGGCTCTGGAATCCCAGAGGCGCGGAGCGTGGCGCACACCCTGCAGGATCTGCAGTAAAGCAAAGGGAACTTCATAAAGGACATCCCACGGGTAGAGACCAGCGGCCCGTGCGCGGCGCCCGGGTCCTGTTAGTTATTCCTTGGCGGCTGGGCCCGCTGATGTCGGGAGCGGGGCAGTTCATTCAGGACACGTTTCTAGAGGCCCTGGGGCGTGTCTGTCCCCGGGCTACGCAGGCTGAGGGACACGCAGTCCTGGTGCGCGCCTGTCAGCCACTCAGGCGATGACAGGTTCTCCAGCGGTGAGCTGGGCGCTCGGGGGCGTGCGTGGGACAAGCGCCCACTCAGGCTGCGCAGGCTGGCGGGGCGGGGGCGGCCGGAGGGACGGGAGGTCTGGCGCGCAGTGGGGAAAGCAGCGGGGGGCGGGGGGGCGTCTTTAGTCTAAAGCAGCCGCAGTGACTGGAGGGCAGAGGGCCGGAGCCCTCTCGGCGACACAAGTCGGGGAGGACTTGCGAGCACCAAGCATGGGTGCAGCACGAAAGAAGGGAGCCAGCGGGGCGTCCTGCCGGGAGGGCGGGGGGGAGGGGGCGGGGAATGCCAGCGGGGGAAGCCAGGTCACAGGAGGTCTTCCAGGACCACCCTTGTGTCCCTCGACCTGCGGTGGCCACAGAGCTACCTGTGAACGTGGCAATGGATTCGGCCCCACTGAGGAAATGCGTGCGTGGGGTGCAGGTGTTGTCACGGTCAGAGGGTGGGGGCGGGAAGCGTTCCTTCTCCCGGCCCCTGGTGTTCTAGGCCTTGGGGACTTGGCGGTGGCTGAGGGAGGCAGCTTGGAATTTCTCCTGAGAACGGTTCATTGCAAAGGCCCCGAAGACTTGGTTGCGAAAAAGACCAGGCCAGGCCACTTAAATGTCTGGGCCAAAGCCCTTGCCAATGCATCCCCTGTCCCTGGCGACATCACCTTGGGGTCTTCGGGACACCCCGGCTGAGAGGCTCACCTTATTCCCTCCTGCTTCAGTCCCAGGTAGGGCTCGAGAGAGGGCAGAGACGACATGTGTGCGCCCGGCCTTGCCCCTGGCATTGGATCAGGGGACGAGCGCGGATGGGGGCCCGTCTCAGGTGTGATGACGATGATTCCAGGAGGAGGAGGAGGAACTCGTGGGATGTGCTGAGTTCTAGTCTCTCCCAGGAGCGTTCAGATGGACCGTGTCTGGGACGCTCTGGTGGAGGCCAGAGCGGCCGCAGAAGTTTCTGCTGTGCTTTATGAGGACGCCGCAGCCTGCCAGCTCCCACGTTCCTCCTCCTCCTGTGCCGCCTCCACCCCAGCTGTGACGATGATGCCCTTCGACTCGAGTTGCCCTCCCTTCTTGCTCTAGATTTGGAGCTTGGGGCCTGTCGTGTTGGCGCTCCCCAAGGGCCGAGGCTCTCCCGTCCTCAGGCCCCGCTCACCGCTGCCTGCACTTCTCCTCTGTCTCAGGGCACCTCTCCTGCTGGGACGCTGGTCGACGCCGTGTCCCAGAAGCACCTCCAGATCAACCAGACGTTTGAGGAGCTGCGGCTGGTCACGCAGGACACGGAGAACGAACTGAAGAAGCTGCAGCAGGCGCAGGAGTTTTTCATCATCCAGTACCAAGAGAGCCTGAGGATCCAGGGTGAGGCTGCTGCAGCGTGGGCGGCGCGCGGGGCGAGGACGGGCGTGCGGACCCCTCCGTGCGCTCCCGCAGGGCCGGGGCTGGGCCTGTCGGTGTCTGGGGAGTCTCCCCAGAAGCCCGGGAGGAGGAGTGGCTCCAGGAGCCGGCCCGCTGCTGCGGCCGTCCCTTGGCAGGCGTGACTCCATTCAACCTTTACAACAGTTCGGGACGCAGGCTGTTGCATCGTCCCTGGTGCAGATGGTCCCACTGAGGCTCAAAGGGAACAGGTCACTCGGCCTGGGTTGCTTGTAAGTTGCAGAGAGGTGTCGTGAAATCCCTGTACTTTGCTAACTAATATTCTCTCCCTAATTGTGGGTGTTCAAGGGACTATGTCAAGGAGTGAGTGAGTGAGTGAATGAATGACTGACCGAGGGCAGAGCGTCCCCCGAGAGGGAGCATTCCGGGAGGGCGTCCCGAGGGGCAGCCCGGCTGGGGAGAGGTGGCGCCGCGGGAGGCCTCGTTCTGGCTCCGTCCCAGGAGACGGAGCTGGGGGGAGCAGGTGGCAGGGGCGCTCCTCCTGCCTCCCAGGGCTGAAGTTTGAGAGTGGCGGCCATGAAAAGGGCGTGGGGAAAGGACGATGGGCTCAGGGGCGCGCGCCCCGGGCGCCGTGTGAGGGGTCCTGAAACAGGGCCCGTCTTTCCCCAACTCCGAGTGGAATCGGGGCTGTGCCTGCCCAGCCCAGGGAGCTTGGACGATGAGGTTCCTCTGCTCCTCTTTTCTTGCTTCTTCACGTGGAATCTTAGCTCACTGATTTTAGACCTTTCTCCTTGTCTAATATATGTATTCAGAGCCATAAATTTCTGGCTAAGCAGTGTTTTAGCTGTCTCTCGCGGATTTGCATATGCGGTGTATTCATTATCATTCAGCTTGAAGTACTTTCTGATTTCTCTTCTGGTACTTTGACCCAGGCATTTAGAAGTATATCGTTACTTTCCAAAATTTGTTTTTTCGGGCTGTCCTATCATTATTGATTTCATTTCATTCCATCATTGAATTCTGTTGTCGGAAAACATGTTCCCTGTGATCTCAGTTCTTTTAAAGTTACCGAGACTTGTTTTATGGCCCAGCAAGTGTTCAGTCTTGGTGAATGTATCTGGTGGACTTGAAAAGAATGTATTTTCTACAACGTTTCAGTAAAACGCAGCAATAATAAATCCAATAGTGTTAAGAAATGGAACAATAATATTTATTTTTAAATATATTTGAAATACAGGGTTAATATACCTAAATATATGTTTTAGATATCTATCGAATATTCTATATTATGCATGATTTATCTAATATAACCATAATCATATATACTCTACTTCTATATGATATCAAACATACTATAAACATTTATATATTTCTTATGTTAACATCATGACATTTTACCAAAAAAAGTAAAAACAAAAAACTAACATCTCTACTTTCCAAACCCAAGGTTAGTGGGGACTGTGGCATCGCTTTCTGTTTCTGCAAACCTCTTCAATGTTAGGGCGACTGGGAGCCAGCCAGGTCTTGCTGTCAATTGTTGTAGTATCACATAGCTCGCAGCCCCTAGAAAATCCCAGTGTATAGTGATGAGAGATTAAAAGAGGCAAAGGCAAAGTCTTCGCACTTTTGAAAACAGTTTGGCTTTGTGAGCCTCCTGTAAGGCTGCTGGGCCCCTCCAGGCATCCCTGGTCCACACGTAGAGAACCGCTGGTCACTGTGTTTTTAAAATTTTTTTTGGCCAATATCTTTGGTTCCATGAGGTGCTGAAAGCGAGGCATCCAAATCTCCTATAATTGTGTGGAAATGTGTGCTTTTCCAGTTATTTCCATAAATATTTCCTTTACGTATTTCAAAGCATTGTTAAGAGATTCATATACATTTATGATCATTGTGTTTCTGATTGACTGATACTTTAATAATTATGAAATATCTTTCTTGACCTCAGGTAAGACTCTTTGTCTGGAAGTCTACTTTCTCAGATATTCATATAACTCCCCTAGTCGTCTTGTTCTACATTCGCTCAGCATATCTTTATCCGTGCTTTTTTCATTTAAAATGTAGACAGCATATAGTTGTCTTCTTTTTTATTTATTCCGACAATCTTTGCTGCTAATCAAGCCACTCAGTCCATTAACATTTAATGCAGTATTAATATAGTGGTATTGAGGTCTCTTGTTTAGTGTTTACTTCCAGTTTTGTTCCATCTCAGCTCTCTTTCGGGTTTTTATATGTAATTTTTTTAGGATTCCCTGTCCATGTGGCCCCTGCGCTCCCCCGCCCCCCGCCCCGTCCGCGTTGTCTGTCCCCGGAGGCCAGCACATGCCGGGCCACGCGGGCGCCGAGTAAATGTCGGTGGGATGAGTCCAGACTGGCCCCGTCTTAGGGAACGGGGACTCAGGCTCAGTTCCTCCAAGGGCTTGGACCGGTGGACGGTCCTTACGATCCTGTTCTTGGGTTTTCCGTTTCGTCTGCATGGGTTCGAGTTTGGGTTCTGGTTTGGGTTTGTGCCCATCGTGCAATGTCCACTCAGTGCCAGTTACCGCCTCCCCCATCAGAAACGCAGACCATCGATCTGTTTGTGCAGGGGAGGCCCAGCTGCCTCCAGCGGAGCAGACGGTTGCCCCACATACCCTGGCGTCCTTCCCAGAAAGTTCTGCAACTTGCCAGGAGAAAGCTCACTGGGTCACTTGCACAGGAAGGCTGCACACAGGTGCGGGGGACACGACCACCTCCCTGGGGGTGGCAGGATTCCTCAGGTGGCCATCAGGCCGCTCCGCTGTGTCCCCGCTGGACGAGGCTTCCCCTGCTCAGGCCCCTGCACCTGGAGACTGGAGCTGCGTTTCTGAATCCTCCTCTGGCCCTGGCTCTTCCTGGTTGTGCGGAGTAGCTTCGGCCTGTTGGAGCTTGTGCGACAGGGGGTGGGGGGCAGGCCTAGGTCAGCGAGACGTGGCCCCCAGAGACCTGCCAGGAACTGGACCAAGACACATGGCTGCTCCCATCCTCTTGACTCAGCCCGATTAAGAACACGGAGGTGTCCCAAGTGGCCACTGGCCGGGCACAGTCACCCCAGTTTGTAGGGCAGTGGCTCCCTTCGTGCTGTGGAGGGATGGCTTGCAAACCGGGGAGCGCAGACAGGTGGCTTTAACTGGAAACATTTGATTCTTAGGCTGGGTTGTGGATTCACAGGTGTTCTGTTGTATCATTCTTTCTACCATCCTTATGTCTTAAGCATTTTGTAACTTATTTTTTAAAAGATTTTATTTATTTACTCTTAGAGAGAGGGGAAGGGAGGGAAGGAGAAAGAGAGGGGGAGAACCATCGACAGGAGAAACATCAATGTGTTGCCTCTCGCACGCCCCCTACTGGGGTCGTGCCCACAACCCAGGCACATACCCTGCCAGGAATCGAACCGGCGACCTGAGGGTTTGCAGGGCGATGCCCAACCCACTGAACCACACCAGTCAGGGCACGTAACTTAGGGGAATTAGGCCTCCTGAGCCCCTATGCCTGCCATTGATGAGCTTCCTGCAGCTCTTACGAAGAGAGCCACCTCCTTTCTCTGAGGGAATCTTGCTGGTTTTGTGTGGGTCCTGGGTTCTCTCTCTCTCCCTCTCCCTCAGTTTCTCTCTCTCCCCTTTCTTCTCTGTTCTCTCTTTACTCTTCCTGTTGGTCAGCTGAGCTCCCAGTGACTCAACCCAGACAAACTTGTTAGGCACCTTCAGCATGTGGAGGAATTCCTTCCTCCCTGAGGACAGGCCCCTGTGTCCCTGGTGGTGGCACAAAGCTGTTCAGCGGGTGTGGCTTCGCGGGTGAGGTTGGGGCTGGGAGCTGCTTGTGTCCGTCACCCTGGCACCCTGTCCTGAGCCCGTTGGTCCACAGGGGCTGACTCTACCAAGGGCTCCCCCGGGCCCGGCCGCCCCTTGAGCCTCTCCTGCATCATCACTTTGTAATCCCCATGGCCACCCCTGAGCCCGGGAACAGGATTCTCCCGTTTCGCGCAAGGGAGACCGAGGCACAGGAGGGAGGAGTGATTTTCCCGAGTCCACCCGGCCACCCAGCCGACTTCAATCCGGGCAGTGTGGCTCCGAGCCGGACCGCAGTGTGGCGTGAGGAAGGCTGGACAGGGAGCTGAGCGGACCCGGGTGGTGGGAGCCTCCTCGGCTGGCACCCAAGCTTCCGTCTCCCCAGTGTCTGAGGGGAGCTCAGAGTTGGGGGGCCAGGGAGTGGAGCCGGCTCACCTCTGGGGCCCTTGGCTGCCAGAGCCCTGGACCGCCAGTGGTCAGACGTGTCAGCGCGAGGGCCTCGCGTGCTGGCAGCTGGGAGGTGGTGGTCAAGGCCGTGCCGTCCCCTCCTCTAGCTCAGTTTGCCCAGCTGGCCCAGCTGAGCCCCCCGGAGCGCCTGAGCCGGGAGACGGCCCTGCAGCAGAAGCAGGTGTCCCTGGAGGCCTGGCTGCAGCGAGAAGCCCAGACGCTGCAGCAGTACCGCGGGGTGAGTGGGGTCCTCGTCCTCCTCCTCCAGGCACCGGGTGCAAGTCCTGAGCCGTCGGGGGACCTGAGAGAGGGGTAGAGCCAGGAAGAGACCCAGGGGAGCAGGCAGCCTATGGGGGCCTGAGAGGCAGAGCAGGTGGGGGGAGGGGCCCCCGCTGCCGCGTGCGTCCCTGCGGGGTGGTCCCGCGCGGGAGCCCAGAAGGGCCTGCTGTGCCCTCTCCCAGGAGCTGGCCGAGAAGCACCAGAAGACGCTGCAGCTGCTGCGGAAGCAGCAGACCATCATTCTGGATGACGAGCTGATCCAGTGGAAGCGGCGGCAGCAGCTGGCGGGGAACGGAGGGCCCCCTGAGGGCAGCCTGGACGTGCTGCAGTCCTGGTACTGGGCGCGGAGGGGGGGGCGAAGGGCGACGGGACGCGGGGGGCGGGGTGGGGGGACGCGGGCAGGCGCAGGGAAGGAGTGGTGGGCGGGGGCTCCGGGTGGAGCCTCCAGCTGCTTATTCTGCACCTGTGTTTCCTGTGCGGATGGCTCGCTCTGTCCTGTGACAGGTCTTATTTCGCCAGTGGTTTTGGCTCCTGACACAGACCGTGGTGCCCCTAGTCAGGGCCCCCCCCTGGGGCGGGAGTCACTGTTTTGGGGAGTAGAGCAGGGCCGGGGGTGCACAGTGATGCTCGGGCTCGTTGGCTCCGTGTCCTGCGTGTCTCCCTGTGTTTCCAGAAGGCAGGGCGGCTCTGCTCCGCTCAGTGGGCGGGAGGGGAGTCTAGGCATCCTGACTCCCTGGGTGCAGGTGGGTGCGGGTGCAGCTGGACCTCAGCGGGCTGGCCCCGGGCTGGAAGCCTTTCCAGCTCTGTCCTCGGACCCGGTGAAGCCGTTGTCCTTCCCTTTGGCCTCGGGCCGTGGGCAGGTGTGAGAAGTTAGCCGAGATCATCTGGCAGAACCGGCAGCAGATCCGCAGAGCCGAGCACCTCTGCCAGCAGCTGCCCATCCCCGGCCCCGCGGAGGAGATGCTGGCCGAGGTCAACGCCACCATCACAGACATCATCTCAGCCCTGGTGACCAGGTGACTGCTGCCCCTCGGCCACGCCCAGCCCGCCTGTGGCGGGCATGGGGAGGCAGGGGTGCTTTGCAGGGGGCGGCTGTTGCCTGAGTCCGTGTCTCTGTCCGCCTCACCCACCCCCCGGCCCCGTCTCCTCTGTCCCCGCTGCTGTGCGTGCGTGGTGTTGCCCTTTCCCGGCTTCTCCTGCGAGCGCCACCCGCGCTGCCCTTGGGTCCTGCAGCCCGTGCCCACCGCCCGGTTCATTTCCCTGCCTCCCATGTCGCCATCCCCCCGACTCTCAGCGGCCTCCCTGGGGACAGGTCTCTGCCACGTGCCGTCCCGTTGCCTGCGGAGCCCTGTGCAGGGCATCCGCCCCTCATGGGGGGACCTGAGCCCCGTCCCCTGAGGCGGCATCTCTTGTGTCCCTGCAGCACATTCATCATTGAGAAGCAGCCCCCTCAGGTCCTGAAGACCCAGACCAAGTTTGCAGCCACGGTGCGGCTGCTGGTGGGTGGGAAGCTGAACGTGCACATGAACCCCCCCCAGGTGAAGGCCACCATCATCAGCGAGCAGCAGGCCAAGTCGCTGCTGAAGAACGAGAACACCCGCAAGTACGTGCGTCCTTCCTCACATGTGCCCTTCTCAAGCTCATGCTCAGTCTGGGGCCTGTCTCTGTCCTACACGTGGAGTCCCTGCAAAGGCGCTGCATGGCCTCCTTCCCCGCAGTCTTCTGTCCTGGCATTGCAGGCGCGATCTAGTGTCTCCCCAGTTCATTCTGTCTGTGCCGTTGTGCCTAGGTCATAACAGGTCAACAAGGATTGCACTGCTGGGGTGTTGTAGGGTCTGTGCTCAGTGCCGGGACACAGGACGATCCAAACAGAACCCAGCCATGTGCTCGCCAATCTCTTGACCAGCAGCCAGGCAGCAGACAGGAGACATGATTACTGGTGTGTGACAGGGGAGACATGTAGGGCACTGTGGAACTGGGTCATGATGTGGGCGGAGCAGAATGACAGTTTCAGGCTGCAGGGTGAATGGGAGGCAGCCAATGTGAGAGCGTGGAGGGAGGAGACTTGTCCTGAAGGAGCCTCTGCGCATGGAGAGCCCAGGGCTGGGGTCAGAGCAGGCCACCCGCAAAGGGGGCAGCGAATGAATGAAAAAGGGAGTGAATGCGTGAAGTGGGAGACTGGGTCATGTGTACCGTGTGCCTACCGTGTGATGTGGGGGGGAAACGATGAAGAACGCAGAGATCCTCACTTACTTTTTGTATGTGAAATCTTACAAAAGAGATCTTTCGTTTTGGCTGGGGAGGGAAACGGTCCTATATACTTTAGAAAATAAGACAGTGTCGCCCTTGTCAGTGTGGCTTGGTGGATTGAGTGCCAGCCTGTGAACCAAAGGGCCGCCAGTTCGATTCCCAGACAGGGCACGTGCCTGAGTTGTCGGCCAGGTCCCCAGTTGGGGGTGCGGAAGAGGCAGCTGATCGTTTCTCTCACACATCAATGTTTCTCTCCGACCTTCCCATTTCTAAAATTAATTAATTAATTAATTTTTTAAAATTGCCATTAAAAGAAAGGAAAGAAAATGTGTCAGAAAGCTACAAACTATAGAAAGAGAATAAAAACAGATATCAGCATCTGGATAGACACTTCATCACCACATGGATGGTTGAAGGAGGCCTTTCTGAGAAGATATTTGAGTTGAGCCCTGAATGAGAGGGGATGGGGTGTTTGGGGCAACAGAAAGGGCGGGCGCAAAAGCCCTGCGGGCAGCACCAAGCTCGCACGTCCAGCAGACAGACGAGGCAGTGTGGCCTCTTGTCCTGGGTGAGGGAAGAGGAACCCGATGTGGCCAGGGAGGTGGGCATGGGGGGATCACGGGGCTCCTTGTAGTCTGTGGTCATGATTTTTATTTTAAGTGTGTTAGAAGCTGCTGGAGACCCCTGGAAACCCTCCCATTAATCTTGTACCCAAGGTATTTTTAACCTAATGACAGAGACCCAGACCCCGCCCTTGAAGGCTTTGCTTGGGTGTTCCCAGGGTGATGAGGAAGTAAGGCCAGAGACATTCCGAGGAACCTTCTTAGGGGGTGGGGCAGAGGCTGCGGGCCCTGGTCAGCACGCAGGCCCGCACTCCTGGCCTGGAGCCTGTGTGGAGACGGGGCTTCCCTCTCTTCCGCAGCGAGTCCAGTGGAGAGATCTTGAACAACTGCTGCGTGATGGAGTATCACCAGGCCACCGGCACCCTCAGCGCCCACTTCAGAAACATGGTGAGGACAGGGCCTCGCTCTCAGTAGGAAGGTCTGCCCAGAGCTCAGTTCCTGTAACCAGCTCCTGTCTCCCTGTCCCCCTCTGACCCTATGCTACAGTCACTAAAGAGGATCAAGCGTGCTGACCGGCGTGGCGCAGAGTCTGTGACGGAGGAGAAGTTCACAGTCCTGTTTGAGTCTCAGTTCAGCGTAGGCAGCAATGAGCTTGTGTTCCAGGTGAAGGTGAGGTCCCACACTACTACCTCCCGACAGGTTACCCAGAGAAGCCAAGGGACCTGCCTGAGGCCAGCTGTCTGGTTTGGGAAAGCCGGAGAGCTCTGAACTCTCCCTTACATGGCAACTCAGACAAGTTGCTCCGTGATGCTATCAGAAAACCTACTTTCACTCTGCCGGTGCCTGTTTGTGAGGTTGTATTATAATCTGGTACCTGCCCACAGAGCGTAGGCAATGGGCCAAGAAGAAAGATGTGTTTTTTGTGTTTGTTTTTGCTTTGGTTTTGTTGGGAGGGGCTTGTGGTTGGGACTGCGGGTAAGCAATGAGGGTTGGGAGTCTTGCCTAACCCGAGGGCAAGATGGTGGTCGTATGCCCTCAACTCTCATTCTTTTGACTCCCCTAGACCCTGTCCCTTCCTGTGGTTGTCATTGTACACGGCAGCCAGGACCACAACGCTACCGCCACCGTGCTGTGGGACAATGCCTTCGCTGAGCCGGTGAGCCCCCATGGCACCCCCAACTCCAGACCCTGGGATTTCCCAGGGTCATTGTCCCAGGTCTGTGAGCCTGGTCTTTGAGGTCTGACCCCCGATCTTCCTCTGGCTTGTGGTTTTGGTCCCTGATCTTTGTCCTCATTCCCCTGTTCGGGGTCTCCATCCAGCACACCCGCCACTCTGCACCCACCTTTCTTTTCCTTGCGTTTGTTTCCTTGCCTGTGTCTTTCTCGGTCGTCCCTGTCTCCGGGTATCTGCATATCTCTGTGTCTGTGTGAGTGTGTAAATATTTCCTACTCCCTCAGCCTCCTTTTTTTCCCCTTTTCTTCCCTCCCTCCAGGGCAGGGTGCCATTTGCTGTGCCTGACAAAGTGCTGTGGCCGCAGCTGTGTGAGGCGCTCAACATGAAATTCAAGGCCGAAGTGCAGAGCAACCGGGGCCTCACCAAGGAGAACCTCGTGTTCCTGGCGCAGAAACTGTTCAACAGCAGCAGCAACCACCTCGAGGACTACAACAGCATGTCCGTGTCCTGGTCCCAGTTCAACAGGGTGAGGGACGCGCTGCTGGCTGCCTGCCTGGGACCTCGTGTGCCCTGCCACCCCTCCCCCGCTCGCAGACAGGTCACTGCCCACGATCAGCGCCTCACCCTCTCTTACAAGCAGGAGAGGTGGAGGGCGCTAGTACCCCAAGGACTTCAGGCACCTGTAACTGTCAAAGCTGGAGCCCGGAAAGGAGCTCGGAGCCGCGAGTCAGGACCCTTGGGCTGTAGTCCTGGCCCTGTTAGCTAGTTTGCCAGGCCCCTTCCCTTCCCCGTACCGCAGTTTACCCATCTGTGAAATGGAGGGGTTGGGCAGGAATGACTGTGGAGGTCTTGTCCAGCTCCCACAATTGTTTGCACCTCCGACCCCCACTCCATGAAAGGATTGTCTTGGACCTCTGTGTCTGAGAGGCCAGAGGCGAGTTGACTTGCCAGTCCCCTGGGATAAGGGTTGGGGACTGTGTCAGTTTATAGACTGCCCCCGTGTGGGACATGTGGGATGAGGAATTGGGGGAGAGTCTGGGTGAGAACAAGTGGGCACCGACCGTTCCTGGGCCACCTGTGATGACAGGGCACCCGCCCTCACTTGGGGTTTCCTGGGGGTTCTCAGGAGAACTTGCCGGGCTGGAACTATACCTTCTGGCAGTGGTTTGATGGGGTCATGGAGGTGCTGAAGAAGCATCACAAGCCCCATTGGAATGATGGGTAAGGAATGGGGGACTTGGAGGCTGGGAGGGCATGGGCTAGGGACAGCGGCTGCTGGCCCAGCAGTGACGCTGTATGCTCCCGCACCCAGGGCTATCTTAGGTTTTGTGAATAAGCAACAGGCCCATGACCTGCTCATCAACAAGCCCGATGGGACCTTCTTACTGCGCTTTAGCGACTCAGAAATCGGGGGCATCACCATTGCCTGGAAGTTTGACTCTCGTGAGTGCCCTATTTTGCCCACACTCCAGCCCCAGTGTCCCTGCTCCCCATTCTCCATCAGGCCCGCATCCTTAGAAGGTACCCTGTGGGAAAGATAGGACCTGAGCTCAGGGTCTGAGAGGAAACGCATCCCCTTTCTCTCATTTTCCATTTTGGAGAACCTAAAATCCAGAACCACTGGGTGGGTCCCTCGGCAGTTTCGTGCTCTCCCTGTTCTGCCCTGACCCAGCCCTGTTGGTATCTACTCGCCTGGTTTGCTCGGTAGAATGTCCCCGTGGTTGTCTCCTTGCTCTGTGCCAGGGAACACAAGGGGTGGGGTTGTGGTGAAAGCCAGCAAAGCCTGCCCTAAAGCCCCACAGCCCCGGTCCTCCCGCTGGTGGTGGCGGGTTGTGGGAACAAGCCTGTCCTTTTCACAGCTGACCGCAACCTGTGGAACCTGAAGCCATTCACCACGCGGGACTTCTCCATCCGGTCCCTGGCTGACCGGCTGGGAGACCTGAGCTATCTCATCTACGTGTTTCCCGACCGGCCCAAGGATGAGGTCTTCTCCAAGTACTACACTCCCGTGCTCAGTGCGTCTTGCCCTGGCCCCCACCCGACCCCCCGCAGCCCAAAGACACGTTCTCAGGCTGGACCGTGGGGACTCCCTAGGAAGAGCCCGGCAGCCAGTCCCCCTGGGCTTTGGCCACGGGATGGTGCAAAGCATGTGGAGAGGATTTCAGGGCTCACAGATGAGGAGAGAGAAAGTGAAACCTCTGAGTCCACTTTCTTCTCTGCAAAAAAAGCTGAGAAGATTCTCACTTCTCTGCACGCTTGGAAGAGGCTGCAGTGCTAGGGGAGGAGTCGGGATCGTGCAAACCCGCAGATAACATGCGACTCCCTCTCTATCCACGTGGTCACTACTCCCCGCCCTCTGCTCTGCCCCCAGGTTGAGTGAAGGAAGCACAGTGGACAGGTTTTTCTTCTTCAACCTGTCCTCATCCATGGGTTGGGTTTGATTCTGTATCCTTTGCAGGGGTGGGGGCGGGGAGAAAGAAAGCAAAGGGCCGGAAAAGGAGACAGAGTAGGGAAGAGACCTGGGTAGCCCTCTGACTGGTCCAGTCAGCAGGTGTTCGTTCAGGGCCTGTGGGAAATCTCGTCCTAGCTGCGGTCCTCAGCGACTCGGGTAGGAGGAGGACTCCCTGGGGTGGGCTTCCGCCCCCTGGCAAGCTTCCAGAAACTGGTTCTCATCACTGTTCCCCCCTCGGCAGCTAAAGCGGTGGACGGATATGTGAAGCCACAGATCAAGCAAGTGGTCCCTGAGTAAGTGTCCGGGGTCCAGCTCCCGCCTCCCGCTGCCTCCCTTCTCCCTTCGCTGTCCTCACCCGCCACCGCCACCCCCTCCCATTCGAGGGCCCAGCATTCCCTCCCCCGAAAACCCGTCTCAGCCCTGGGGACAGGCTGGGCTTGGTCACCACCGGGCCAGTAGCCAGGGCCCCACTCCTGCAGCCAGAGCCCCAGGCCCGGGGTGGGCACGTGGTCCTTCGTGCCTGAAAAAGACATAAAGACGCCCCCTGAGCACCGCCCCAAGTCGGCCGCTGCCCCGAGGCGGCTGAGGCTCTGCTCTGCTTCCTCCTCCAGGTTTGTGACGTCTGCAGACTCTGCGGGGGGCAGCGCCACCTACATGGACCAGGCTCCCTCCCCCGCCGTGTGCCCCCAGGCTCATTATAACATGTACCCGCAGAAGTAGGTTGCGTTCCTGCGGGGCTTCATGGGCTGGGGGGACTGGGCACTCGGCCTCAGGCTGGACCGCAGGGGGGCTGGTGGGCCAAGGAGTCCAGAGCCCCTGTAGGTCTGAGACCACCCAACCCAGGTGGGGCCGTGGCATGTGCCCAGGAGCAGAGAGGGTGAGATCAACCAGCAAAAAGCACAGAGCTTTTTGAAACTATACAGAACAGGGTCCTTGCTCTGGTGCTCACTAGCTGTGTGACCCTGGGAATATTATCGAGCCTCTCTGATGCTCAGTGTTCTCATCTGTAAAATGGGAGCAAGAATACCTGCCTCATGGGATTGGGGTCAGGACCAAGTGAGAGGGGGTGGGTAGAGCAGCTGAGGCTGCCGTAGGGGCTTCACACAGGACAGCTGTGAATGGGGCGTTGTTCTCAGGAGTCGGGGAACACGGTATTATTCGTTGCTCCTCTGTGGAGTTCCCAGGGCAGGGGATTCTCTTCTGAATGGTGGGTGGCCTGGGATGGATGTCTGGGTGCCCGGGAGGCTCAGGCTGCAGTGGAACCACCGTGGGCTTGGAGGGGCGGGGTCACAAAGACAGAAATTTCAATCCTGACTCCACCCACCAGCCAGGTGGCCCTGAGCAAGCTTTTCAGCAGGGCTGAGCCTCATTTCCTCCTCTGTAAAGTGGAGTAAATGCCTACCTCACAGGTGGCGGGAAGGATTGGAGTAAGGTGGTTACAAGGCCCAGGTCATGGTAGGTGCTCAGGGAGAGGTGCCTGAGGTTTTACGGCATAGTGCCGCAGGTGGGCAGAGCTCACGGGCCCAACTGCCTCAGTTTACAGATGAGGAGAGGGAGAGGAAAATGAACTCCCTGGGATCACTCAGTGAGGTAATGAGACCTGAGACTAGGGTGCCTCTCCAAGAGCCAGTGACTGACTCATTCAACTTGGGGTGCAGGGGTCTGGCCAGCCTTGTTCCCATGAGACTCCAGCCTGCGTGGGGAGCGGGCCCGCGGCTGCCGCCAGGAGCTCATGGCGGTACGGCAGACTGGCTCCCCCTGACATCCCCCTCTCTCCACCAGTCCCGACCCGGTCCTTGACCAGGATGGAGAATTCGACCTGGATGAGACCATGGATGTGGCCCGGCACGTGGAGGAACTCCTACGCCGCCCGATGGACAGTCTGGACCCCCGCCTGTCCCCGCCTACTGGGCTCTTCACCTCTGCCAGAGGCTCGCTCTCCTGAATGTTTGAATCCCTCACTTCTCTTTGGAAACAATACTTATGTGAAGGGTTCATATCAATTTTGATTTTAGTGTTACTGTGCATATTGGTGCCTTTGCAGACAGCACATGTACGCATGCATACATGTGTGTATTTGTGTGAGAGGTGCGCCCGCCTTGCCTTCGCGGCCCTGGGTGCGTGGCTGCAGCAGCAGCAGCCACCTTTTTCTTCAGATCAAGGTATTCCAACAGCCCCCGGGGCCCGTCTCTCGTGGAAGAGACTGAACTGCATCTGTCGTGCCGGGTACCTGGTACAGGCAAACCTACCCCTGCCAGGGCCTTTCTCTCTTCAGCAGCTATTTGAATGAAATTATGCAAGAAGGTGAATAGAGACCGGTGACATCTCTAAGCTTAACTCCTAACTTAGAAGCTTTGCCTCCCAAGTGTGAGTGTGTGCGCGTATGAGCATGTCTGTGTGCCTGTTCTTATGCACGTGTCAGTCTATTGCTTCTTCCCTCAGGAGGGAGGTTGGGCTTCAGTTTTAAGTAATGTTTTATACTTTACCTAATGACTATGGACTCCAGACTTTTTGTGAACTGAGAACTTATCTAGGTCATGGCCATGTCCCTAACACAGCAGAAATGGGCCATCTGAGTCGGGCCTGTCAGAGCTGCTCTGAGGATATAATTTCACAGCCTTTTGGCCTCCCGTGTGTAGCGCAATGCCATTGCCCATGCTCCTGCTACGCCCGCCTTACACCCTCTCCCCTCCATCCAGCTCCAGCCTCCTCTCCTGGCCTCTCTCACTTGCAGGAGAGGTAGGAGAGGGGAAGAGAGGCCTAGCACATCGTGGGTGAACAGGGGACCCAGGACTTGCAGGGCAGATCCCCTCCACCCAGGAAAAATCCTGCAGCGAGAGACAGCAGCAAAGCAGCCTCCTGCAAGCCCATGGGATCTGGAGTAAGCGGTGGAAGCCGTGCTCTGCTTCCACTCTGCTGGGAGGTGGGACCTGGAAGAGGCCTCCTCGCAGTTGCATAACTGGCTGTGGTCTGAGAGGGCCTGGCTCCCACCCTTGGCCCCGCCCCCGGAGACGGGCTGGCACGCGGCCAGGGGCAGCTGCGGGAGAGCGGGAGCCCCGGGTTTAAACCTCTGAGGGCAGGTTGGGATGAGCAGGGGAGTCTTTTGTACTTTGTACATAGGCCACACATTTGTGAAAAGTGTTTTTGAATAAAGTATTTTTTTCATATAACTGCTGGTGTGGCTGCTGGTCGGGCAGCCCTGGTGGCGCTTTGTTCCTTCGATCCTGACCGGCCTGCCTACTGCTGCGACCTGTAGCCGGAGCTGCCTGTAGCCTGAGCTGCGACGCGGCTCCTTTTCTGCATTGTGAGGGTGCTGATCCCCTGGACCACTGTCTGTGCTTCTCAGATGAAAGAGCTAGGACTCAAGGTCTTGGGAAGGGATAGGGCAGGGATGGCTGCAGGACAGGGAACGCGAGGAGTGGAAAGCACTGGGGCTGCCGCCCTGAGCGATCGTGAAGCTGGCGGCCAGGGGCCAGGACAACTCAACCCCCTCCCCCGCAGGCTCACAGGAGGGCCTCGCAGCGGTCTCTCCTCCCCGAGACCAGCAGGTGGCACCGTGCCGCTGCACTGTGTTCTGAGAGGGCAGGGGAGGGTGGTGTCCCCATTTGGACCCCTCTGGCACCAAGGTCCAGGGGCTGTCCCTGGGGTCCCCTTGGGGGAAGGGGAGAGCGAGGACCCGCTGACGAGGTTGCTTCAGAGCTCAAAGTGAGGGAAGAGGGGCTGGCGGCTCGCCCCAGGAGGCGCAGGGGCCCAGAGCAGGGCGCCGGGGGCGGGTGGGGAGGGAAGCAGCCGCCAGCCCCGCCTGAGCATAACTAATCTCGCTTCCATCTCTGCAGGGGAAGGCGCTCGTATCTCACACTCCTGCTCAGATCAGCTCCGTGGGACTCGGCGCAAGGGGAGGGGGTGGAAGAGCCGAGTGGGCGCCGATGTCTGTGAATTATCACCACTGACTGAGGCCCCGAGCAACAGCCAGTTAGGTGTTTAGTTTGTCCCCGCTGAGTGACTGAAGAGTAAGTGATAATGGAGCAACTGTGGAAGGGGAGGCCTTGGGGGTGGCCTTAGGTAGCTTATCAGACCCCAGGCAGGAGGCCCAGCTTGCAAAGGCCCTGGAGGGAGGAGGGAGGAAGGAAGAGAGGGAAGGGGGGCCTCCGCTCTGGCACCTTTGTGCGGAGGAGTGTGACCCCTGGCTCCTTGAGCGACCTCTTACCTGGAAGCTGGTGACTAACACAAGTCGGGGAGGTTGCTCAGTGTCCCAGAAGTGGGCCTGACTCAACTCAGCAATGAGAGGCTGAGGTGACCAGCCCGGAGGGGGTGCCACCCCCTCCTGTCCAGACGCAGGCTTGACCTGTGAGTAAGGAACCTCCACTAGCCAGAGACAGAGCTGCCAGGCTATCAGACAGGGCCTATATATTTTTATTTTCGGAAGTTAAAGTAGATACAGCAATATACAAAAAAAAAAAAAACAAAACAAAACAAAAAACAACAAACCCACAATAATATAAATTTTTACACTATGAAGTATACATTGGAATTGGATGCAGTGGCCAAGACAGCAGCTTACAAACCACTGTGTAAGTAGGTTAAGCGATCGATGGGAACCCCTTGGTGGGGCTGGGGTTGGGTGGGGCAGACAATGGAGAGAAAACGGGCAGGTTCTGGAGGACTTGGTTCTTTAAGAAAGCGGCCAAACCAAGTCTCAGCTCCTCTCAGAACTTTGCTACAATCAGAGTTAAACCCCGATACAAATGCTACCTCAAAGCTCCGACCTTGACGATACCTGCTCCAGAGAAGCCCGGATCCTCGCCTCAGGCCCCTCTGATCCCAACCTTCTCTCATTCTATGAGTCGAGAGTGCTGCTAGCGAGGGGAGAGCTCTGCACTGCCTGTCAGCTGTTTCTAGGCAGGACGGCAGGATGGCCAAGGGCAACCCCTGCTTGTTTTGGAGAGAAGGTCCTTATCCCCTCAATTCAGCAACTGGCTAATTTGGGTATAACACACAGCATGCTATAGAAACTGATCAAACAATACAAAGTGGTTCTGGACCACCCACTATAGCCATGCCTCTGGGCCAGAGGAGACCCCAAAATCAAATACCGCCTCTCACGCTCCCAAGTGTTCTGAAATACACAGTAAATGTGACCTGTTCTGCTTCCTCTGAGGGCCCCAGAGGGTAGGAGATAGTTTAGGAGATAGTTACCAGAGTTGGGGGGAGGCTGGGTGCGTGCTCCCTCACACAGGGGCGGACTGAGCCTGTGCCCCTGCGAAACCAGGTGCTGTGGGCAATTGCCAAGAAACTGGGATAAGAACCACATTCCCTGAGTTCAACCAGACCCTTGGTTGGGGCCCCACAGTCTGAGTCATGTTCAACCTGTAATTTCCTCCCTCTTATTCCAGGAAGTCCTGAGAGACCAGGATTCCTAAAGCAAACAGGGCAGGGGACCTTTGGACACAGTAAGGGGCCACGCCACAAAAGGGGTCAGGCGGACTGGAGGGAAGAAGGGGAACCATCCCGTTCCTTGTAAGGCACCCACAGCACCACCCGGGCTCTGAGACAGGGGTGCAAGTCCAGGCGGAGAGGGGCAGGTTACAAGCACCCCTCTGCCCAGCCTTACCTACCGATAGGCCAACACATAAAAGGGAAAAATAAAAACTCTGTTTATATATATATATATATATACACATAGATATAGATATATCTAGATATATATATCTATATCTATGTATATATATAAAAGTCTAGAATGTTTAGGTTCTCCTTCAACCTTCCTATTGCAAAACCAAAGGCCAAGCCATAGCTCCAGACGTCTTTTCAGGGTTGGATCCGAAGCCCATTTCAGGGTTTATATAAAGTATCAGCCTGAAGAAAGCTGAATGCCTGAAGCACCAAGGAGGCTATTGGCTGAATTTTCTTAAATACAGAAAAGGCTATGCTGATACAGTGTTTTGCCCTTTAATTATTTATTTATTTAAATTTAAAAAGAAACCTGGGGCTTTGACAGTCCTATCTTTTATGTGGACACTAGCAAGATTGAAAGTGCAATGCCAGGGTTCGCAGCTAGAGGCAGCCTGTGGCACTCGCTTACGGAACGGGCGGAGGGCGGCCGCTGGCACCAGGAGGCACTTGTCTAACAACAAGCTGCTGAGAAAGGAGGGCAGGGGAGCAAAGAAAAACAAGGCATTTCCTTTTTCTCCCTCTTGCCGCCCCTTCCACATCCCCTGATCACAGTCTCTTTCTTATTTGCATTTAGATAAAAGCACATCACCCACATTCATTCATTTCTCTATTTGAAAAAAGTGCCCAGATTGCTCAAAGATAGCAGAAGTAGGAGATTAAAACAAATCTGGAACCACAAAGTTAGGAGTTTAGATGCTCTGGGGTTTGGCTGCTTAGGGGTGGAGAACAGGTAGGTGCCTCTCTCATCTCTCCCTGCAGCTTCGGTCCTCGGCGCCTCACATGGGGGAGGTGGCGCACTCTGAGGTCAGCTCCATGTCGAATGTGAGGGACTCTGGAGGGACAGACAGGGAGAGCTGGTTCAGTCACCGGAGCCCTTCAGCTGGCAGGGCGCTCACCCCTCACCCTTTGGGGGACAAGGGTTCAGGCCACCTCGGCCATCAAGTGTCCTGCCCGGTACGGCCAAGGCTTGGTTGCATAGCCCAGATCCACTCTTCCCCCTACTGGGCCCTGCCTCTGGAAGGGCGCAGTCCCCTTTCTACCTGAAGTGACCCCCGACCCTATGTGTTTAAAGACCCTCTAGGCTGCCCTGCAGGACGCAGCAGCCTGGTGCCACAGGCGGCTGGTCCCAAGTGAGAGGGGCGGTCGCTACAAAACGCCCAGCAGAGTTCAAAGACCCAGTGCAAGAAAACCTCGTTCATTTTTTTCCTACACATTGACATGAGAGTAATTTGGATTTATTGGGCTAATTAAAAAATATTAAAATTAACCTCACTTGCTTCTTTTCACTGTTTGTAGTGTGACTACCGGCAAACTGCCGCTTACGCAGGCGGCGCTGCCGGTCCGGCTGGGGAGTGCGCTCTAGGGCCTCTTTTACAACCCGTGTGACCAGCTCTCAGCTCCACACATGGGAAGTCACACAAGGGGGACCAACTTCCCTCCTAGGGACAGCCTGCCAACCAAGCACTTACCAAACTGCCCTCCTGCTGAGGGTTCAGCACCTTCACCATTATTTCCAAACTGCATCAATGAATCTAAAGTGCGGGGGGACATCGGCAGGTCAATGGTGTTACTGCAGGTCGTTCTGTAGGAAATGGGGAGCAGCAGGAGGGCAAAGGGCCGGGTTGACAAGACACAATGGATAAAAAAAAAAAAAAGAAAAAAAGAACAAAACACACACACACAAGCCATCAAACTCTGGTCTCCAACAGAAAAATAAAAGCTCAAGCTTTTTAAACACGCAAGGTCACTTTGAGTACTGAACATAGCCCAGGGCCTCCAACCCTTCACAGGGAACTCTCACCCAGCGTCCCATCCCCAGGGGGAACTGAAGACATTAGAAATGAAGGCAAAATTGGGAAAGGAAGCCACTTACGGTGTCACACAGATAAACTTGGTCTTCAGGTAGGGGGCAGCACCTGGGAAGAGGAAACCGGGGGCTTACTGCGAGTGGCCCCATCCTGGCACCAGGCCGGAGGAAGCCGCTGCCTCACCAGGCTGACTTGACACTCACTCCATCCTTGCGCAGAGACTGTTTTGAGGCGGCCCTTCCTCACTGTACACTATTCGATGTTTGAGGCGCTTGCAGCTTGGAAGGAAGTTCAATTCTTTCCATAAAGCTTTCCTTAATCACAGCGGCTTTTCAGCACACCCTTGTCCGACCTGAGCCAGGAACGCCAGCCTTGTGTTCATTATTTCCCTGGATTCTGTGAGCACGTAGCTGCCTGGATGGGGTCTGAGGAGGGTGTGCTGGCCGGGTCGCATCGCCCAGGGGACTTCTCTACATGCAGGAGCAGAGCTTTGAGTTCAGCATCCTGTGCGGATACCAACACCACCGAGTGTCCAAGAGAACACGAAGCCTCTAACGCTTGTGGTTCCAACGCCAGGCGTCACACCTTCTATCCCTATTGGCTCTAATCTGCCTCTATTACAGCTTTAGGCGAGGGTGTCAGTAACTTTCCAGCTGGATACCTACATCGCACAAAAAGCAGCCTCTCTATAAAAGGAAGATGTTTGTGGTGCAGTACAATTGACTCTGGGCTGGAAAACAGGAGGCCTGGGTGTCTTCAATAGCTGAGAACCTGGGGCAAGACAGTTAACCTCTCGGGTATAAAATAAATGGGAGGGGGAGGGGAGGTTCCCATTTCAGCCATTTACAATTCTTGTTCTACAGTTATACACGTGAGACTTGGAATAAATGAACTTGAGGTGCTAAATGCTTACACCAAGAGGGACCCTTGGAGACCTTGGCATGAAATTTGGGGGATTCAGGTGAACAGATCATGTAGGAGGCATGGTGTACAGCGAGCTGGATTGAGAGAAGCACATTTATAAAGCTAGGGGCTTACATAGAAACTGAGCCATCAGGAAGTCTGACGACAATCTGAGAAAGGCATTGCCAAGGGGTCCTTAGGTCCCTGCCACCTAAGTTTAATTTGGGGGCAAGAAATAGATTCAGTCAGTGCAGCGTCCAAAGAAGCTGTGGAGGCAGAGTTCCAGTGTCGCAGAACTCCACTTGGCCCAGGCCAGAGCGGGCTGACACCCAAGGCAGAAAGGGTTTAATCCCCTGGGGGTGGGGCAGCTGGGAAAAACCGCTGCAGCCCAAGATGGAACAGCAGAAGCGCCAGAGGGCTGCAGCTAAAAGCTCACTTATGGATCCACGCAAGGTTGTAAATAGACTTTATCCAGTTTGTAAGGTAAGAGATTTGTCACTTCTAAGAGGGGTCTCTCTCCCAAAACCATAGGTAACACCGTGCAAGCCTACGGAGAAGCAAGGGGGAAGGAAGGTCCTGGGAAGACAATCTGTTTCTGGGGCATAATACCCGCTCCGTGCCCAGAATAGGAAGGAAACGGTCACAGACCCATCTGCCTGAGGACACCCATTTAATACAGGGCTCCACACATGCCCTGCCCCCCCTGCAGGCCCCCCGACCCCATCTCCAGGCTCGCCACACGGCCCGCACTCGGCTTACACCCGCCCGGCGGGGTGGGCAGACAAAGCCCTGAAGTCACTCATTCCTTTTTTTGTGATTGGCATGTTGCCCCTCAGGAAACAAGGACGTTTCCAGGCAGGAAAGGACCCTGCCTCCCCGTCACACGGGAGGGGCAGATGGGCATGGAGGGCACAGCCTCAGATTGGGGACTTGGATCTCAAAAGCACAATCAGTCGAAGGACCAGCACATGGACCTAATTGTCCTCTGCAGAAGGAACAAAGAGCGGTGTGGCAGGGGCTGATAAACAGATCTCCCAACTGAAGCACAACAGGGAAAGGGAGATAAGCAGCAGACAGGAAGTGAGTGTTAAACTCTTCTAGAACATGAACAAAACTCAAAACCAGTACAAGGGGAAAAGGAAAGTCAGTTGTCAACTCTCTCAAATTCCCTCTTCCAACTCCTACTCTTCCCACCAAGAAATTTTTCAGAGGGAATTCCTGGGAAAAAGTGGGAAGGAAGCTGGTGAGTCTGTGTGTGAGCTATTTGTACAGAAACCATCTTTTCAAAACCAATGGGGGTGGGCAGGGAAGCTAACCTCAAAGGATCACTTTAAGCCACTGTTGGCTTTGTGATTAAGAAAAGTTAAATAAAAACAAAAATGGCAAGCCATAGATTCCTCATCAAGGCCTGAACAGGGAACCCAGAGAGTCAAAAGCAGAAACATGGATGGGAACAGGCTATAAGGGCTCTGTCCCCCCACCCTGATCAGAGTGTTAGAGATGACCAGTCTAATGTACAATAATTTGCATATAACTTCCATGAACACATTTAAAAATATCTTATGTCCTGTCTATGGTCATACCACCCTGAACACTCCCAGTCTCGTCTAAAAATATCTGCTGTTCAATAGTTACACATTCTAAATACCAAATTTCACACCCCTCCTACCAGTTACCATCTAGCCTTTCAGTCTCCGCTCTCCCTGACTCTGCTCTCAAACCCTGTTCCAGTGCTGCTGACACTCATTTCCTCCAGAGAGCCTTTCGTCGTCCCACTCAACACGGCTGACACTGTTCAGTGACGGGGAAAAGGAAGTACGCTAGACTGAAGTCTGGGTCACGAACCTCCCAGCATCTACTAGGTGAGAAGCAGTCTGCTGCTTGTGTGTCCTATCACTAAAGCATCCTGTCCTTGCTTTCTCTGGGCACTGTTTCCGGTATGTTTGGGGCGTGGAGATGCCCCCTGGGGGGTCGGGACTCATGAGTCTGTGTATTCCCCTCTCGCTAACCCATCAGCCACCCCAAAAGTGCTCACTAGAAAGTTCTTTCCCATAAAGAGGAATAAAGATCACTGGGTCTGCCCTGGCTGGTGTGGCTCAGTGGCTTGAGTGCTGGTCTGCAAACCAAAGGGTTGCCAGTTCGATTCCCAGTCAGGGCACATGCCTGGGTTGCGGGCCAGGTCCCCAGTAGGGGGCACAGGAGAGGCAATGACACATTGATGTTTCTCTCCCTCTCTTTCTCCCGCCTTTCCCCTCTCTCTAAAAATAAATAAAATCTTTAAAATGAATAAATAAATAAACACAAATTCTACACAACCTTAAAAAAAAAAATCACTGGTTCTTCAGGTGTTCGCCTCTCTGTTCTCCAAGGATCCTACAATTTCCCATTTTTCCCCAGAAACGCCTGATGTGGAAAATCAACAACTACCTGGGTCAGCCTCAGGATGCTCTTGGCTCTCTGGCCGACAATATTTTCCGAACGCCTCCTCCTTAGGAATGTCCGGGTAGAGATAGACCAGAGGAGACACCAGGATGTTGGTGGCATCCATGATCTTATATCCCATGATGATCTCCGCGAACGACATGTTGTTCAGCTGCTGCTTGGTGTACGGTTCCACGGACTGGATCTGGGTCTTACCTGCCATGGGATGTAGGAAGGGAAGATAATGGAACCTGCAGCCAGGTGGCCCCTGAGAAGGGAAAGTCTTATCCTGGAGAGGGAAAGACTTGGGCCAACTGAGCGCTTGAGGCCCTGGACACCCTGCCCAGCCTCCTTGCACTCTGGACATGTTCAACAGGCTGCTGGAGCGGCTACCCAGCTGGGTCACAGGAAATACTCTTAAATAACTACTTGCGTAAGATATAGTAACAGGGTAGGTAGGAAAGGAGATGAAGACTAAAACTTAACTTGCAAATTTCTAAGCAAGCAAAGCAAAAATTGGCAAACGAATCCTTCAGCTGGAAGGATTTAGAGAAAAGGAGTCACCCTGTGTTTTCCGTCTCAGGGTGGAGGTGCAAGGCCATCTCTGCCCACTAGGGGGCAGTGGGTGCTTGAAACTAGCAGCAGCCATGGCAGCAACAGCAATGGAGTTGGGGAAGCAGCAGCCAAGCTTACCGCTGATGTCCTTCTCTACCCAAGTGAACGTGACGCCTCCTTCTTTGCTGCTTTCACTAAATCTTAGCAGGAAGGTGCCTGGGGGCTTGGTGCTCAAGATGGCCCTCTCCCGTTCCTTGCTGATAAAGCCCATTATGTACCTGGAGCCAAGAGGAACAGCAAGAAGGTTTGGATTGAAGGGGTCCCAGTTGCTGGCCTGCTGAGACAGCGGGCGACTTGATACACCTCTGTACTCTGCCGGACTTAAGAGTGTCAACCTACCCTTCATTCCAAAGAGCCAGAATGTACTTTTTCACAAGGTCAATGATATTGTCCAGCCAGACCCAGAAAGAGAAGCCCTTGCCAGCCATGTTTTCCTAGAGAAAAGAATAAAGGGAAAGCCAGGTCTACCACCATCCTAGCTTCTTCCTTTCTAGGGGCTCAGTGCCACCAACAGCCTCAGGCCTATCTGCCCTCAGGCAGGGCCTACTGGCCGCTGGGTTAAGAGTCTAGGGCCTTTGGGCCCAGTGCCCTCCATGACAATCTTACAGGTGAGCATCACCTCCCACCTCCCATGTCTGCTCCCAAGAGGTGATGGCAAGGAGTTAACAAGATTGCTTACTTTGCAAAACTTAGCCCATGTGATCTGACACCCTGAATAGTTCACACCAGGTCCTAAAAGAGAAAAGAATAAAGTAGTGTAATTTCCGGCTTTGAAGGAAGATCTTATTTCTTAAAACAGAGCACACACTCATAGACATTTGTGCTATAATGGGCCATGAAACCACTGGTTTTCCTGTATTTGAAGGTTGCCGCCATGGGCACACACGCGTGTGTATGCTTATGCACACGAGCACACACCCACACGCCCCCATCCCCTCCCTGCGCACACACACTTAGCCGCATCCTTTGACCCCTTCCCCTGGGTTGCAGTTCAGCCTGGCAGGGGTGGCAGAGGATGTATTAAGAACAGCCCCCACACACATTTTCCGTAGCCTTCTGCGGTGGCACGGGCGCCAGCAGCACACACTGATAAGCTGACAGCTGGTATTAAAGGGTCCCATTTAGTGGCAGCACAGGACAAAGCTACTTATAGTCCAGGTAGCACATCAAATAGTCTACTAAAATTTTTTTTCAGGGAAAAAATTAAAAATAAACCTACAGTTTATTGAAGAAATGGACAGGAATGCCAAACCTATAGCTCCACCTTCCAACATGCACTTAATAGATCATCCTAAGATTAGACAAAGTAGTACCTGGGAGGGTGGCGAGGGAGATGGCACCAAGGGAAAAGAAATCTGCCTCCCGCTTCCTAAGAATGATCCCCGGGAGGCCAGCTCCCCCTGCACCTAACTTCCCCACCTGCGGGGGCCTGCATTTTCGGGCGCCAACACAGAGCTTTGCTCAGCCAGCTTTCTCAGATGAAGAGCCCCGTAGGACAGGCTCCTTTTCTGAGGAGTGCAGGAGGGAAAGGAGGGAAAATGCTGACCTAGGAGTTTCTCTGCCAGCGTGGTCAACTGCTCAATGCTCAACCCTCGCTTCGTGGTGGAAGAGAACTGCCAGCTTAGCACCTCGGCCACCTGGTCCCAGGTTCCAATCGGGGGCTTCGTGAAAAAGTTCACATTCTATTGAAAATAAGACATGTGCTCATTTCAATGAAAGGGCAGTGCTTGAGGACCTGCACCAGGTACCACAACCATCCCTGGGCGGCGAGGAGTCAGGAGGGAAGGCTGGTACCCTTCCGGGACAGGACACTCACCTTGGGGTTGTTGGTCAGCATGTTGTACCACAGGATGGACGCCCAGGCGTTCGGCATCTGACAGATGTTGGAGATCACCACCACTGGCAAGGAGTGGGTCTGCGGAGGAAGTGGAAGGTGAGCCGGGGAGCTCAACGGCCCTCTCAGCCTCCAAAACCTCTTCCCCGCCATCTCCAGGGATCGGAGCTAAGGCCATGCTGTAGACCACACCCGCTGCCACCAGAGGAAGAGCGCTGAACACAGGCCATGGGCCTCAGGTTGGTGTCTGTGCATAACTAGGAATTTAAAGCCTGACTTGCTCAAAGCTAGCCTCAAAGACCACAGATTCTTCAAGAATAGAAGCTGTCCCTGCCAGTAAACAGAGAGGTCCCAGAAATCAAAGACTAGGATTCTTGCTTTTTCAGGCACATCTTTAATTTAAAGATCAAGAAAGTTGGGAAAAGAGAATGCAAAGGCCATGGTTTTCTGTACACTAAGAACATTAGCTGTTTAAATACTGTTTTGGTCAAACTTTAGAAATTAACTATCATCAATTTCTAAATACAGATTTTCATACCAAGTTTGCTTAAAGCTGAGAATACATGTATCTTCTAAGCACTCAAGGAATGCTAGCCTCTCAGATTGGATACTAAAGATTTTTTTGGAGAAAAATAAACAGAAATAAACACAGTGCCTTACAAAGAGTCATCATTCCACCTTCTGCAGTAAAAATCCTGCCTAGAAGTTCCTGCCCTGACCTGTGCATGTAGCGCTATCCCCATTCAGTGGCAGAACTCACCTCTAGGTCAATCTTGAGGCCTTGGTGATACACCTCAGTCTCAAAGGTGATCAGGTGCAGCTCCTCAGTCACAATCAGGGAGGCCTACAATATCAAAAAGGACATTCGGCATCAACAGCCACAGTGGAGGAGAGTAACGTGCCACAGCCACGCTGCACCAGGAATGGTAATCCACCAGGTGGCCACGAACAAAGTGCTAGGGACACAGCTCTACACGTGTTTCCTCAACACCAAGACTCTCCAGTGCCAGGGCCTCTGGCCTGCTCTTTCACTGGACTTTATAATATTACAGAGAGCCAAGAGGTCATTTGTAAGACGGGTTTGGCCCAAAGAGTAACAAAACAATGGATGCCTGTGCACCCACCACCCAGTATAAGAAGACCTTTACCACTGAGATCCTCTAGGTGGCCTTCCCCAATTCCATCCTGGTCCCTCCCCGCTCAGAAGTAACTATTATTTTATCTTGTTTGGGTTTATCATTTCCTAGCTTTATAATTATGGTTTTACCATAATGATATCTCTAAACAGTATATATATTGTTTATTTTAGATGTCTGTGAACCTTATACATATAGAATCATATGCTATGTATTCTTTGGTGACTCACTTTTCGCATGCTTGTGATTGTATGCATCAGCAATTTGTTCATTTTCACTGTTGTATAGTATTCCATCAATGTCTATACCACAAATCATTGATCTGTTCTAGTGTAGATGGGTATTTATGAAACTTGTATTTAGGGCTTATCATCAGGCTGCTGTAACATTTTGTACATGTCTCCTGGGACACATGCGCAAGGGGTGCTCTATGGTTAAGTCCCAGGAGTGGCACTGTTGATTCATAAGGTACGTTCATGTCATAATGCCAAATTGTTCTCTGACGCAGCCCTAACAATTTATATGCTGCCCCCACATCAGTAGCAGCTTTATTTTGAACAAGAGTTACCAATGAATTCTAAGACACAGAATTTCAATTCATTTTTAAAATATTCTTTTTCTGATTATGTGTTCAGTTTAAAATGCAAATAATACAGAGGCAGTACAGAGTAGCCTCAGATACTAATAGCGCAAATACACAAGCACTGCCTGGTGTATAGTCCTCTAGAATTTTTTAATCATACATGAACATGCAAAAAACAGTGTAGTATATATTTTTTAAATGAATATACTAATATAGTACTTGGATTGTTTTGCATCTTGCTTTTTACTAAACAAAAATGCCACATACATTTTTATATATCATTGCACATAAGCTACTTCACTCTTTACTGTCAAGCATTATAAATTCATTTTTTGTTTGTTTCTTACAACCTGCTACATTTTAGAGAAGAGAGAAAAAAATGGCTTAGGGACAAATATCAAAAATAATAGGGTGTCACAATTTTTTAAAAATATTATAAACTAGTTTTTGGTACATTTGCTCATTTTTCTTAAAGTTGATTCTTGACACTAAGAGTCTAATAATCTGAACCAGCAGGAGGCAGAGAGAAAACAAGGGGGATAAACAACAGATAGGTGTTACTCTTTTTCTTTTTAAAACTGTTTAACTCAGATTTGTTACTGTCTATCCCACCTCAGTGAGAAAAATGTCATAAAAAAATGGAGCCGGCAGCGCCCGCTGGCAGAAGCTGGAAGAGGAATATGGAAAGCCCCAGGCCAGGCGGCAGGCTTCTTTTTTACTAAATGGGTGTGGGCAACACAGCAAGGGACTTTCCACTCCTTCTTAATAGAGATCGAACTCCTGGGACAATCAAGGAAATATACTCCAAGCCAGAGAACTCATGGCAGATGTGACTTCTGATCATGTCATCCTGGCCCACAGTGATTTTTCTGAATGACTACAATTGAAACTGCAGGTTGGCATCTGTAGTTCTAGGCGCTTTTTCTCTCCCCCTCAGAGAAAACCCTCCAGCTGGCTTTCATCCCCCATTAACACTCACGTCACAGTTGGCGCGGCCCCCGTTACCACATCTTTGCTCTCTCAGGGTCTGCAAGGAAAGCAAAGAGCACCTCTGTCACGTGAAGCTGACCACCCCCCGCCCCCTCCCTCTGCCAGAGGCCCTTGGCGAAGGGGAGATCCAGGCCTCCTGCGTACCAAGTGTTTGAATTCTGCGGATAGGCTGCCGTTGTTGGATTCTTCCATGTTCATGACTTTCGTGTTTGTGCCCAGAATGTTAAATTTCCGGGATCTGAATCACAGGAGAAAAACCAACCCCAGAAGTGACTGAGTGGCCAGAGGACAAAGTTAGACTAAACAGAACAAAAGGAAGCCTCTAGGCTGAACTCACCCTCTGAGAGCTGCTACATCTCCGGAGTCTCTGTTAGGAACACAAACCCGTGTTAATAAGACAGGCTCTGTGTTTCTTCAAAAAATACCTACTTTGAACACCTGTCATTTACTCTGATAGAAAAACTGCTGTGCTGCTGGGAATTTCTATAAGCTAGTCCATTACATTTTATATGTGAAATATAACACCCCTGTACAAGCTTAAGTAGTAGACGCAGCTAGCTGTCTACCCGACCCCCACAGCCCCCTTCCTAACTGAAGCTGCATCCTGACCATTACGTCCATCAGAGCATGGCATGCCCACAGCGCAGAGGTCTGGGGGCGGGGGGCGGGGTGAGGACATGGCCTACATGGTCTCAATCAGACTAGGAAGAAATTATATCCCTGGCTGGATTAACTACTACATTCCAGAGCTTCAGCTAAACATGAGCAAGGAAGTATGTGGCCTTTATTACAAGCAACCATGTTGCAACCGAGAAGGGAACCTTGGAATGCAGAAGATGCTTATGATGACAGAGAAGAGACAGGAGATTCTGGGTCCTTGATGCCATCAATGAGTCACTAATCTCACTGTCAGGAACTTAACCTAACTCTACATTTCCAGTTATACTGGGCCGCAAACTTCCTTATTCTTTAAGTTCCATTGGATTTTCTGTAAAGGTTTACTGTCACCGCAACTCAGAGAGTCCCATTTGATATACTACTTGCAGTGTGGCCACTGTTCTTTAAGTCTACATTTTTAATATATAGTCTTTTTATACAGTCACATTTCTTGGTCTTTTCCTTTTTTTATTACTTTCCACTGTTCTGAAAGTCTCCATTGCTACATAATCTCTTACATTTTTAGAATTAGTAATAGTTATTATTTATATTAAAGTGTATTCCAAGTGGGTTTATAGATTAAAACTGATCAACTTTTAAACCATTTAGAAGATATATTTCCATATATCACATTTTAGAACTCCAGAGTCTTCATCCTCAGGAAAGCTTCCCTGTCTAACCTATCTTTCTTTTTTAAAACCTATTTTTCTTTTTGTATTACAGCTTTGATGTACAATTGATAAATAAACTGTACTATTTAAAATGTACAATTTGATAGTTAGATACATGTATATATACTATATATACTTGTCGAAACATCAGCTCCATCGAGATAATGTACATGCCCATCATTTCCAAAGTTCCCCATACCTATTTGCTCTCCGTTTCCCAATCCCACACTCCGCCCTACTCCCGTCCCTAGGCAACCACTGATCTGCTTTCGGGCACTATAGATTCATTTGCATTTCCAGGATTTCACATAAATGGAAACATAGAGTATGTACTCTTTGTGTTTTTTTCTCTAGATTCTTTCACTTAGCATAATTATTTGAGATTTATTCATGTGTAGCAATAGTCCATTCCTTCTTGTTGGTGAGTAATATTCCATTCTACAGATATACCACAAATGGATTTATTCATTCACCTGTTAGTAGACATTTATCTATGAATGGACATTTGTGTACAACCCTTTGTGTGGACATAGGCTTTCATTTCTCTTGGGCTAATACCTAGGAGTGAAAAGGTTGGGTCTTAGTGTAGGTGCATATTTAGCTTTTAGGAAACTGCCAAGCTGTTTTCCAAAGTGGTTTTACCATTTTGCCATTTTACCACCACTATATTATATATTCACCTATGCTTTTAAGATACTTTTGTTTAAACACATAAATACATCTGGAATTTATTCTCATGGATAGTAAAACTTACTTCTCACTCTAATTCCACACTATCAAGTTGTGAGATATCATTAATTCCTTTTATAAACCTGACATCTATTTCTGGACTTAGCATTTTGTTTCAATGATCAGTTTATTCCTGTCCTAGTAACATACTCGTTTAGTAACAAACTTTGTAGTACATTTTATTATCTGCTAAGGCAGCTTCTCACAACACCCCCCCATGATTTTTATTTATTTTTAAAAAATGTTTTTGAAAGTATAGTGGTGATTGCCAGGAGTTGGGATGAGAGAGAAATGGGGATTTGTTGATCAATGAATAAATATAGTTTTGATTTTGCAAGAGAAAAAAGTTCTGGAGATCTGTTGTACAACAATGTTGAAAACATGCAATACTACTGGACTACATACACTTAAAAATAGTTAAGTTGGTAAATTTTATGTTAAATTTTTTAAATGGTGATTCAAAATAATTTTTTTTTAAAAAGCTACCTATGCTTATCTTTTTCCATCTAAGATACAGCTTAAAAAGCAAGTCAAGAGTTTACAAAAATATCATAGGTAAAATCTTAATTGCATTTTGGTTGGTTGGTGCTGTATTAACTGAAAATAATATCTTTATGATAAAATTAGAAGTCTATAATCCAAAAATATGATTTGTCTCATCATTTTTTACAATATCCCTTTCTCATTGAAATGTCTTCTTCAAGTAGTTTTTAAAGATTTCTGTTAAGCTGATCACAACCAATTTTTACTTTTTTTTGCTTATTGTGAGATCATTTTTCTATTATAATTCCTAACTGGAAATGCTAACATATGGTTGAAGTTATTAATTTTTGATTGCTTATTTATTTATTAAACCTATCACCTTTCTCAAGTCCTTTATTTCATTAGTAATTATTTTCCAGTTTATTCTAGTGAAATTTCCAAATAAATATTATATTACCTAAAAATAAAAATACATTTAATACATTTTCTCTCTTTTTTATTGATATTAGAGACAGAGAAGAAAAGAGAGAGGGGAAAAAAAAAACAAACTGTTGTTCTATTTATTTATGCAATCATTGGTTGATTCTTATATGTGCACTGCCCAGGAATCGAACTTGCAACCTTGGCATATCAGGACAATGCTCTAACCAACTGAGCTACCCCAGTAAGGCCATTTTCTGTTTTCTAATCTCTTCAAAAGCTATGTGAATTTTAATATTTGAAAAGGCATTGTCAAATTTTGAAAATTATTCTATTGTGGGAAAGTGTAGAACAATTTAAAACACCCATTTTCCCCATATATTCTTAGTTTTATATACTATGCATAAATTACATTTTTTAAGTAAAAAAATTAAAGAAAAAGAGGGACTCAGAGTCATAAGAGCAAACACAACTCAAATCTATACCCGCTAACTTTGTGGTTTTATTCCGGCATGTAAATGACAATGCACTGCAGGTCTCATGGAAACTTCTGTTCGAAAAGCAAAGGTCTCTGAATGGAGATAAAGCCTCTTAAGTTCATATGATGTCTGTCAAAGCTCTCATTTCTCTGTCATTTGAAAAAAAAAAAAAGAGCTAAGGTAAGGAGTACTTACTTGTCAATGCACACTTTAATTTTGAGCTGATAATTTAACTCAGGGAATTTGACCAGCAATCTATTACCAAGAAAAAGAAGGAAAAAAAAGTTTCTGAGCAAAGAAAAAAAACAATCCAGTTTAAAAAAATAAAAAAGTCAGAAGGCTCCCCTAGCAACTTCCAGCTAAAGAAATATAAAATTCATAACTCTTCATTTCTAAGAGGTGAATAAATGACAATCCCAAATTCCTCTTCCTGTCAGTACTGTCTTTGATATTAAGTATCACCCTTTAGGCCAGAGGTACTGGGGAAAAAAAAAAAAAAGCCTAAGAAGTGAGAACTTGGACAAAGCTGTAAAAGATTCACCAAAGGATAATAAAAGCCATTACAGGAATACGTGCTCTGCAGCTGGTTTTCTTTCTATTAAACCTGAAACCTAACACCAAACCAAGTTTCTAAGTGGGAAATTTCACTGCGGAAGGGCAAACCCCAGCATACCTGTCTGAGCTGAGTATGAAAGTAACACTCCATCCTGCGGGCCCACCACCCACTCGCTCTGTGGTCCCCCTTAGCTTCTGTATCACTAAGCCTTACTCTTTCCCTTAATATCCTCAGGGAAAAGTAGGCTCAAAGAACAGAAAACAGCTGGTATTATTTTGCCTCTTTTTCAGAGCAGGAGGAAACACTGTGTTCTCAGACCGTAGGATTGGAATCATAGGAATATGTCCCGGTTACCTCAAAAAGATGACTGTTCCTTAACTTTTGGCAGAAGAAACAAAAAGCAAGTCGGTATTACGCCAACAAATTCCATACCCACCACAGTACTGCCTGAGATGCATGTGAACAAGCCTGGCCACCAACTGTGCTCTTGTCCTAAGAACGTCCCTCCCTCTGTAAAATAGCTACCACAAGTGACGTGCATGGCCCACCTGACTTTCGTAGTAAACTGGACGCCGGTCTTGATGACTAGGGGCCGGTCGGGATGCATGGGCATGCAGGGCTGTCGCTCAACCACAAAGGCACTGGAAGGGAGAGGGGACAGCAGTTCACACGCTGTGCAGCGCACCAGCCTTCGTCCTGTGTTTCCAAAGTGTGCCAATCTCTCGTTCAAGGATGTGATTAGGGGCAGGGAGGAAGGGGACTTGAGAGGGAAGGGGTGGTGGGGAGGGGAAGGGACAAGGATTCTAAGTTACCTTTTCATTAAGTTTCTAAAGAGCTCCACAATTCTCTCCTCCAGCATTGGCCGGTGCTGTACAATAGGGTCCCCTTTGTAGGAAACTTTTTGCTGTAATTCCTCCAGTTTCTTAATTTGTTGGCGGGTCTGAAGTTGAGATTCTGCTAATGAGGTTATCCTGCCATTAAATAAGGAAGTTACCAGTTACCTAAGGGAGGGTATGTGGGTAAACGAGAGGGGGAGGGAGTACCATAGATACAAACACCACTATGCAGTCCTCTGAAATAAGAAAGGGAGACTTTTTTTTACTGTGGTAAAATACATATAACATAACATTTACCATTTGGAGGCATGCAATTCAGAGGCATTAGATAAGAAAAGAAGGAATTTACTCTGCATTAAATAAGAAAAGGAGAAATTTATTTTGCCTTTCTTAAATAGTCCCTTCCTAAAATCTTACATTTCAAAGAGGGAGCTAGGCACAGAAGTGTCAAAACTTACACTATTATATTTAAGAATTATCATAGGAGGTATTTAAGAGTTATCATTGGAAAGTGACAAGAAATAGAACTGTCTATGGAGAACATGGAATATGGATTTGGCACTCACTTTTTTATCCTAATTTATCCTTGCACTAATGTTAGGCCTGGGGAAACAGGAGAAAGACAATCCAGAAAGATGGATTTGACTTAGCTCTGCCATCCATTGCCTGTGTGACCTTGGCCAAGTCCCTTCGCCATTGTGGGACTTAATGTCCCCTTGCATGAGAGAAGGGGTTAAACTGCCCGATCCCTACGAACCTTTCGGTATCGAAGGATGACGTTGTTTCAAAATGTTGATAAAATGCACTTAGGAAAAGCGGATAGGGAGTCAAAGACTGATTAAGCCTGTCCCCAAGAACAGGAAATACTAGTATCTCTCCTTGATGGCATACCACTAGTTTAATAAAGACTAAAAGACCTCAGAAAGAGAAGATGAAAGACACAGGGGGGTGAGGGTGGGCAGGGATGGGGCAGGACGGCTGATGGGACTTCTGAGCTCCCTGGCTCCTTTCTGGCACTTAACATTCTCCTGTTTCCAGAACCTAAGCTTTTTGGTTCCCTGATTAGAAAGAACTTAAAACTGCTTTCAGTGAAGTTAACAAAACTCAGGGTTGCGAGGATATGAACAAACAGGCATTCTCACATAGAGTTGCCCTAAATTTCCAATTTCATGCTCTGTGTATCTGGGTTTCCCATGATGTCAAGTTTCTCCTAGTTTATTTAAGCTGGTGCGACCCATTCCTTATTGGACCTTGCATATCAAGGGTGCTCATAAAGACATGCTGGCTGGCTGAATGTGTAAAAGAGCAGGTTTCAGAAGAGCATATGAAGAGCAATACCACTAATGTAAAAACATTCATTCAGATTTCTGTCTTTGTATGTACAAATACAACAGCTATCAAGAGTGATGGTCACTAAAATCTTAACTGCAGGTGCTTCTGAATAATTCAATTTTAAAAGACTTTTCTTCTCTTTATTAATTTTCTGGATTTGAACTTTTTTTCCCTTATAAAGAACATGTGTCATTTTAGATTATTAAAGTAACTAAAATTTAAAATTTAGTCTGTTAAATACACCTAAATCAAAAACATTGAGTTATAAAATAAAACAAATTTAATATACAGTAATATAAGTACATTTTCATTTTTAAAAAATGTCCAAATAACATGAAAGCTTTAACTCTTAGAGCTATACTTTACTATATGAGTCCCCATCTTTGAAGTACAGTACCACCTCTTTGGGCCGGCAGTTATGACCATGACTTAGCCTAGCTTTCTACAAAGAAAGGAAAAGCTTCTCTTTCATCTCTCACCAGTTTTCTAGACGATCTAGGCAGATGTTGGGAGGGCCTCCAATGCACGCAATCTGTTGCCGCCTCTTCCAGTCAGCCAGCTCCTCGTCCGTGAGAGTTTTCTGCACGTACTCCATAGCCGACAAAAGCCCCGCCAGCTCACTCACAATGCTCTGGTCGGAAACCAAAACAAAGTCAGAAAACATTTCCTCAGACCGTCTCTAACCACATGCTGCAGTCAGTTCCAGAGAAGGAACTTAAAACCAAGCAGGTTCTGCCAGGAGATGCAGAGAACCGCTGGTGAGTGAGACAGGAGCTGGGTAGTCCCGTGCTCTTACTCGCCGCATCTGGTCCAGTGCGGTTAGCATCTGTTCTAGCTGCTGCATCTTCTGCCTGGTCACCGACTGGTTGTTTCCATTCAGATCTTGCATGTCTGTGGAGGAAGGAAAAACTTCTTGACCCAAGGGAACATTCCTATCCTTAGTCACCGGGCTCCCTTAAGCAAAACAGTACATTAGTCCCTAAGAACACCCACCCCCAAAGTCTGAACACAGGGTCGAGCCAAAGAATTCCTGAAACTCAAGTAACTCAAACTCACTTTCTACAGGAGATTTTTAACGTCTCTAATATTCACTTGCCTCCTTGACTCTTGAGGGTTTTATAGTTGAAATCAAAGTCATCCTGGAGGTTCTCTACCACTTTCATTTTCTGTTCTAGATCCTGTTAAAACAAACATATAAACTGAAGCAGAAAATAGTTCCTTGGAGAGATGGAAAAAAGTGTTTGAGAAAAATGAAGCCAAAACCTCAAAAGAGGCACAGGCAGAAGCCACGGGCAACATCCCCAAGAAAAGGGGCGTTTCCCCCAGACTCGCTTTACCTGCACTCGCTTCCGAACGTCCTGCAGGTGCTGCTCCAGCATCTGCTGCTTCTCTGTCACCACGGCAGCTGTGGGGTGGTTGGCCTGGCCCCCTTGCTGCCAAAAAAGGGAGTTGACACATGTCAATGCAGGAGACGTGGGGAGAAAAACACCTCTGTCCAGTCTGCGTCCCACCCCACTACCTTTCCCATTCGGCCTGAGACACTGCAGCCGCTGGGAGAGGAAGGGAAGCAGCGGCCGTGCGCCGGGCCTTGTTGCGGGCGGTTCTGCAGCAGCTGCCGCTCTCCACGTGCTGTCGTGTGATGTCAAGGAAGCCCTCACACAGTCTCACCTGTGTCCTTGGCCTTTTATCTCTAGGTCATACTGGGGACCTACTCTGTGTACTGCACGGGAAGCCACATGTTGAGGACATGGTCCCTTCCTTCTAAAAACTCATTCTAGGTACGTATGTAAAAAATTTCAGAACAATTTTTATGACCACACATTTTGGATGCCTATTTAAATGTGTATAGTGTCCAATACATTTCTGTGGGATAATAAAAAACGATTCTGTCCCATGGGGAAAGGGCATGTCAAGAGATACTATCTTGGGGTAGAAGGGGAGACTGGTACCTTAAAAAGGGCAAAAAGCACATGAAACTTGAAAATTCTAAGTTTTGTCAAAGCAATAGATTGTCTGATTAAAAAAAGGACCATGTAAAAGCTGTGGCAATCAAGACAATGTGATATTGTACAGAACAGAGATATCAATCAATGGAACAGACTTGAGAAGCCAGGAAAGACATTATATACCCAGCACTCCAAGTTAGAAATTCCCTGTTGTTCTTGATTTCAGAGTCACCAAATACTCTTGGCTCTGTATTCCGTAACCTCAAATCCATCTCCAGTGCTACTGGCTCAGTTTCAACCCCAGCTGTTGATATTTTTGCCTCTGATCTCTTTCACTTCCAATCAGTTTTGTACTCTGCTAACAAAAGTATCCAAAATAGATCTAAACATGCCAGTTTTAGAGGGGACCATTCTCTCTCTTTCCCATGGCCCCTACTCAAGCCCACAGAATGCAAACTTCCTTTAGTAGTTTTGAGAAGGCTACCTCCATCCCTACTTATTCTCGTCATAGGGGGTGACTCATCTGATTGGCGAGACTGAAAGAATGACCACACCCAGGTCTTCAAAGAACCCAGCACCGAAGCTGGCGCTCCTTCCACCCTGCACCTTCCTAAGGCACAGCCAGAGCAGGAGCGAGGGCCTGGTCTCCAGAAGCAGCTCTAGAGGCCGATCTCTCCGTGTTCAGCGTGTGTGAGCCTATGGTCTCTGAGGGTCCCTGTGGATGGCTGGGGAGATGCTGCTCTACAAACCCAGTCTCTCCATCCCCAGACCTAACTCAGGGGGCAGGCACCAGAAAGCCCTACAGTGATCCACCCAAGCCACGCTTTCCAGTCTCGTTTTACCAACAACACAGCTGATATTTTAATCTGTATTGGACCCCCATTCTATTTCTTGATTGGAACTGCACTGAAAGGGGGAAAATGGATGTCATTAATTATCACCTACAGACACCTGCCTTTAATTCCTTTGTGAACTATTGTCTGCCACCGCTTCCAGGTAGAAACATCTCAGCTCAGCACAGGCAGGTGTCTCACACAATCTTGTAACAACTTACACCTGCCCTCCCTGTGCTTTAGTCACCCCCAGCCGCCCACTCTTTCCCAACACACAGTGTGTTTTCATACTCTACTTCCCCACACGCTGTCTACTCTGCCAGGCGCGAGCTGCTACCCAGGTGCACCTGAACTCGCTCACCTTCAAACTCAGCACAACTTTTTGCTCTCCTGGGTAACATTATTCAACTTTCCTAGGCAAAATGACTCACATCCTCCTGCATGTTTTTCTCACATTGAGTGTCTGTGTGCCTATAATCCCAAGTAGACTAAGAGCCCTGGTGGCAGGGATCACCTCTACTCGTCTTCCTAGCTCCTTGTGCTTCATAAAAGAGACTTGAGAATATGCCAGATGGTGTAAACAGAGAAAATAACAGTGAGACCTGGGCTGAGGCCTTTGATATCTAACCAGTAGTTCTATGTCAGGGGCTGCAAGCTTTCTAAGGGCAAAGTGGCAAATATTTTTGGCTTTGCAGGCCATATAGTCTCTGTCACAAATTCATGTCTCAGTCCTACCACTGCAGGACAAAAGCAGCCACAGACAATGCACACATGAATGTGTGTGCTGTGTTCTAAAAAAACTTCATTTAGTCCTGACTTATGTGGCTCAAGTTGGTTGGTCAACATTCTGTGAAGCAAAAGGTCGCCGGTTCAATTCCCAGTCAAGGATATGCCTGGGTTGTGGGTTCAGTCCCAGTCAGGGCACTTACAAGAGGCAACCGATTCATGTTTTTCTCTCACAGTGATGTTTCTGTCCCTCTCCTTCTCCCTCCCTTGCCCTCTCTCTAAAAATAAATAAATAAAATCTCTATCTAAAAAAATTTTTTAAAACTTCATTTATAAAAACAGACATCCTAGAAGTTTATCACAGAGAAATCAAAGCCTGAATGTATAACGATAGACAGAGCAACATTGCAATAGTATTTATAATGGGAAAAAAACAAAATGAAGAGAATGTCTATTGAAAGGAGAATAACTGAATAAATTACTTCAGCTCTACACCACCAGCTCTATGTAATGCAGCAAATAAAAAAATGAGTTACCTTTATATCACTCGACTTAGAAGGGTTTACGTTGTGTAATATTAAATGAAAAAAGCAAGATGAAAGAAATAAACCCATTTAAATATAATGTGTGTTTATTTTATATAGTTTATATGAGCCTGGAGAAAAGGTGTGAAGGGATATGTACCAGGCTCTTAATGCTGGTTTCTTGGGGAAAAACAATGGAGGGAATGAGTGACATTTCAAATTTTTAAAAAACTTTCTTACTTATACTTTGCTGTAATTTAATTTTTTTAAGGGGACGAATGCATTATATACTCAGAAAAAAATAAAGTTATTTTCAATGTACAAAATTTAAAAATCCAAAACACCCATTAACATCCACTTCTCCCCTGGGGGGCTGTGTGCATCCTAACGACCACATAAGAGCGAACACATCTTTGCACAGGAGAAGGGACGCGCATCTTCAGCGGCACCACGTGTGTGCCCAGACCTCACCTGGGCTGCAGTGGCTGCGGTCTGGAGGAGGCGGGACTCTTCCCACAGGCACCGGGCCACAATTCGGGCAATCTCCATCGGCTTCTCAAGATACCTGCTCTGTAAGTAGGAGAGAAGGGGAATGAAAAGCAGTGGTAGACGAAGGAGACGTGGACCGGAATTTTGCTGGCTTAAAGCTAAATTTCTCATAAATTGTGCATAACATTTACTACATGAAACAATGAAACAAAGTCCTCAAACCCTGGCTGCAATCAGCAGGAGGTGAGGGGAGAAGAGAAGAAAAGCAGTTATGATGAGCTGTACTAGTGTGAGAGAAGGCATAGCCCCTGGTTGTTTGGACGGTCTGCTACCCTGCTCTTACAGGGAAGTGAGGCACTGTGTCCTGGAGCAGCCAATTACGGCCAAACATGTAGCATTTAAAAGGAAGCACCATCTTCCTATGAGGGGACCTGGTTACAATCATGTTATTAACATGTTAATATAATATAAACATAATAATCACATTACTACTTCAACTGACTAGTGAATTTCAGGTAATGATGCTTATGGGTGAGCATACGGAGATTTGATAAAGGGCTAATTACTTCTTTGATTTCAAGTACAAGATAGGTTCTCAAATGAGAAAAGAAATACTTCTAGGAAAGAAAGCTAACACCCTTCTCTGCTGGTTCAGTTTCTCATCACACCTGAAGGAATTGCTTGATTCTTCGCAGATTGTGCTGATAGAGAACATTTGATTCTTGTAGGAAGCGGCTGTACTGTTGGTCAATCTCACCCAAGAGATTATGAAACACCAAAGTGGCATGTGATTCTTTGCTGGCCGCATAAGCCCTAGGAAACGGAAGAATAATAAAGAACGATTCAGAAACCTACACACACGTGCACACGTCACCATCGATGGGGAGAAAACCCAGGCCAAGGAGGAAAAATAAAACCCAAGGCAAACCCAACACTTTAACCCACTCATCATTACAGATTTAACTTGTTCAGCACTAATAACTATCAGCAGTCTAATAACCATACAAATCATTCTAGATACTATTAGCCACTGTCAGAGTCTACACTTACAAAATATTTGTGTGGACTGATACGCTGTTTTGCTTTCAGTTCTCAGTCAATTGTGTGATCAAATTATTAGTGGCAAATAAGCAACCCCACAGCAGGACGGCCTATCTCCAATAGCTCTGAACCACCTTCCTGGCCCTCCACCGAATTCTGGAACAGCTAGGTCATAGGCCTGAATTAAACCGAAATTAATAGTTGAATCTGAACATGTTAAAGTGAAGGAAATAGTTGTTGGAAATCTGTGCCACTATCTCCTCTATGAACAAGTCTATTTCTCTTACTGTGTCTCTCTCCTTTAATTAAAAGGGAATCATAAGCAAGGACCCAGACTTCTATCCATAACATTTTTCTCATTTGGATAAAAAAATATTTATAGCACATCTCCGAAGCATCAGAACACACAGAGGACCTCACCAAGGTAGTGAGATCCAGATCGGTCCTGAAAATACCTACTAGCAAGCAGGTTGTTTGATGCACCAAAAGTTAGTCGCCAGTGTGTGCTTCTAATATAGATGTTTATACAAGACTAAGAATATCTCTTTATCCCCTGATCTCTTTTACCCCGTCTCCTGTACCCATACATTTTTCAATGAAATAGCACAGAGTTAAGATAGAACACATCATGCTTCTTGATGCAAACCAAACCTAACAATTTGGGGAGTTTCTCAGGAAGGACTTACCAATCTTGACTCTCGATCCAAGGGGCCAGAAACTGCCGCAGCTCCATCGGGAAGCTGTCACTGTACAGCTGATGAAGCTGCTCCAGGTACCGTGTGTCCAGCTGCTGTAGCTGATTCCATTGGGCCATCCTGCTGCAATCAGAGGTCCCAACTGTAAGCCAAAGGGTTCATAGGGTCATTACAAGCCGCAGTAGGATAAACATACCCTAATAGAAACATACCATATTAGAAATACCCTATCTACCCAACACAGGCGTCAGGTCTGTAATTAGGAATAAAAGGAAAGGATCCTGCATGTCTCTGCCAGGTTAGAACGACATACACACATTCATGATCTCTACTTCTGGAACCACATCTCAGCTTCTTCTAAACGAATTGACAATGTGGGCATGATGCCAAGTTCTATAATTATCTACCAGAGATACATGAAGTTGAAAAATGACTCCCAGAATTCCATTGCCTCATCTATAAAATAGAGATCATAATTCCCATCCCCTAGGGCTGTTGAGATAATATTTCTAAAGCCCCATCTCAGTGCCTTGCTTATTACAACAGATGCTCAGCAGCTGTCAGTTCCTTTCTTTCCACCATACAACCCTTTTAAGCATACTGGAAAGAATACAGAATAAATCTGAACTAAGACCAAAATGTGGGGTGTGGATGTTCAGGAAAGATAGAGAGCTAACTCTAAGACTACAGGTTTAAGAGTATAAGCAAGGATCTGCCTAGGATTCTCCCACTCAACAAAAAGTAATTCTATTCTATAAATTTTTCAGTCTGGGATGAGAGAGAAGAGAAACTAAATACCAGGCATACGTGTTATCCTCAGGTTAAAGACGACCCCAGGGAAATGTTCCGGTATGAGAAACCAACCTGGCTAACCACCTTCTAAATAGCAACACCAAACAAGTAGCCTTAAGACACTGTAAAATAACTGAGTGATACCCCAAAACTGAGGAATGTACACATCAAAGTATAATGAGATGGTTCTCTGGGACAGGGAGGATATCTAATGAAAGACCAAATACATACAAACGCATATACATAACTGGACTTCTTGATTTATTCTTTCTCAGAGCAGACTACCTGCTACATGCTGATGCACTGTAACCATGGTATGTACTACCCTCACCAAGAAATCAAAGGTCACGAGAACTCTCTTACAATATTTGCATTAGAGTCAAGTTAAAATCTGCCTCATGAACTAAAAGTATCAGGATCTGCCTTATGTTTCTCTGAACCTGATTTGCATAAAAAGCTATATATTATGCCAATTTATATTGATTCTACTGCAATGCAAATGTACTGAAACTCTAGACCTGCCATATAGTAGCCTCTACCCACGTGTGGCTACTGGATACTTAAAATGTGGCTGCTTCAAACTGAGATATGCTTTAAGTGTAAAATACACACTGGATTTTGAAGATTTAGTAAAAAAAAAAAAAAAAGGTAAAGTATCTTTTTAATATTGAAATGACATTTTAGGTATATTAAGTAAACTAAACTATATTATTAAAATTTATTTCAGCCATTTCTTTTTTACTTCTTTTAATATAGCTATTAGCAACTTTAACATGACATGTGTCACTTGCATTCTACTTTTACTGAACAGTGCTGCTCTTACGTAAACAAAAAGCTGTGGTTCTTCTAACATATGATTCGAAGAATTAGACACCTACTTTTCAAAATCTACTCCAGTGTTATAAATTGCTTATCTTGGATACAAATGTAGAGCCATCATGGTCTGCTCCCTGAAATTTTAAGGTAAAACCATAAAGTAGCATCCCATTATGCCAGGTCAGTTATAGATTAACATTCGGGTCATTCATGAATATTTGCATTTTCCAACTAATGCACCATTAACAACTTACGAGTTGTCGAAAATTGTCCAATTCATTTCTAGTCCATAACTCAGAGGGTTTTTGTTGTTGTTTTTAGCTAGGATTTTAGTAAATAGCATAGTAATTGTGCTATTTCTTAAACAAGAAACCAGATAAGTTTTTTTCCATATAAATAAACGCACCAAAAATGACTCATGTTATGTTCTGCTTCTTAATGTAATCACTGGAGGACATGGGCAAAGAGTTGGATACTGATCTCCTCACCGGCCGCTTAGCTACAACCGGCAGGGGCCCCAGGGCAATCAGGCCAAACGTTTTTCACAAGGAAAGCATATCCCTGAGAGATCACTAGCCAAGCTATCTAGGCGAACCAGTGCCAACTAGCTTTGCGGTAACTGTTTTACTGGGAAAAAGTTTTTAAATAGCCCAGTTTATTTCACAATCTCCTCTCTGGTTTTTCAAATTACAAGTTAATCTGAAGAACTCTACTAAATTCTAATTAAAGTATTTCTTATCTATGGGATAATTCTAAGGCTGTGATTTAATAACCACTTTCACTAAACCCCGGAACACAGAAAGTGATCTGCACAATTTAAGTGCCAAGCACCACCCTGAGTGCTTAGGAGAGAAGTTTTGTTCATTCCAATGCAGCGGCTCGCTTAGCGTGTGCCAGAGGGCTTAATTCTCTCAAGCTGTTGACTGAATTTAGGTTAGAAGGGAGTAAACCTCAGCATATCAAGGAAAATGTGATACTGTTTTCTGCAACTGAAGAGAAAAGAAAAATGAAACATTAAGTCATCAAAGACTTTGTGGACTTTTCAAAACAGGAATTTCTCAGCCTCTTGGGGGTAACTTTACCAACAAACAAGTCATAAGACAAACAACCACTGTCTAATGGGGAATTTCTTACTGTATAGATCACTACAGAAGTCGGTCCAAAGTCACAGTCCTCACTTGTGTACTTCAGTCTAAAGTAACCAAGGGCATGTTGAGAAACACAAGCCAGGACCACTTACCCAAGAGTTTCACTACATCATTTCATAAAACCACTTTTAAATTAAGACTTGGACTTCACATTCACGCACCAGTGGGTTTACAATAGGGACGATGGCGGGAGGGGAGAAAAGTAAGGAGAGGGAGGAAGACCAGACCCATCCAGAACGGAAAGTGAACTAAAGATAATTTATTTTCCACCTTGTAATGTGTCACACAATTTCTCTTTGGGTGTTGGCCATATTCTATATTAGAAATACCTATATCTTAAATAGAGAATACCTGTAGTATTTTACTGTTACCTACACAAAGATCCTCTTTTGCTGTCAGGAAAGGCTCAGTGGCTAAGGCAAAAGCATAAGGTAACATAGAAGTATAGTTGCACTAATTGCTATAGAAACCAGCCCTTTTAAGATGATATTTTGAAAAGATTATAAAAGTAATAATGTTCACTGTGGAAATGGAGGGAAGGGGGATCCACTGTCTAGAACTATAAGTGATGTACAGTGTTGGTCTAACTCCTTTTACTGTATCTCAAGAGTATGTATATATATTGTATTTATTTTTAAAAGTTGGGATCATAGTATTCCTACAGCTTTGTATTATCTTTTAAAGCTTATTATCTATAGTTAACATTTTCTATACAACGAGATTTTTGTTTAAAGCCCATTAAACAACTATTTGGCTTCTATTAGTGGTTTTAATATAATCCTGCTAAACCCATTGAGAGTCACTGAATTTACTTATATTTGCAAGCTCCAATTTACTTGTTTTCACATCACATTCCAAAAATAATATGAAGTAGCTGCAAACTCCTTAAAGTAAATTAAGGAGGAAAAGAAATAAAAGGCAACTGATGCTAGAAAAAGACATTCAATCTTAATGAAACTTTGATTACAGGATTAAAGATATAATGAATGACAGGAAGTCCACATTTAAATATTATAGCTTTATTTAACTATTGTTAACCATTCATAATAACCCTAGACAATAAGACTAAAATTTCAAATTTAAAAAGATAATTCACAATAAGTACACTTGGGCCCTAGCCAGGTAGCTCAGTTGGTTAGAGCATTGTCCTGATACATCAAGGTCATCGGTTCAATCCCAGTCAGGGCACATACAAGAATCAACCAATGAATGCATAAATAAGGGGAACAACAAATTGATCTCTCTCTCTCAATCAATAAATAAAAATTAAAAATAAGTACACTTGTCTAACAAACATAATTTCATTGCTTACAAATTCAAATAGTACCTTTATAAGGTTTAAAACTAGATGTTTGCCTTTACAGAAAGAAGTTTGTACGTAAATCTAATATTGTTTTTCTAGAAAGACCAAATGTTAGCACTTGAGTGCCCAATCTGAACTATACTTATTATAATACTACAGTATTTCAATTACAAATAATAAGATTTGCTTTAAAGTCAGAAACCCAACTCTTGTAAAAATGGACATTGAGATATAATAGAACTTGAATTAGGGTTCCCCGCTAATATGCCAAAATTCAATATACGAAAGAAGTACTAAATTACTAAGGAGTAGAGCTCAGAGAAATAAGGAAAATAACAGTTTTTAATGATACTCTGGAGCACTCTAAACCCCAAAAGAGTCTATTTTCCTCTTCCTTCTTATTTCACTTTAATTCTTCTAGGAAGAGTTTAAGAAAGCATCTTGTGCCAAGCACATTATTTTTCCCATTCCAAGTTGTATCATTAGTACTGACTTTACATAGTTATCTAATGTATATCCAGAAACAGAAAATAAACTGTGTCAGGTTTAGAGTTAACTTAAAGAGGCGGAGCCTACCAGGAATGTGAACAGCAAAAAGGAAAGGAAACCTCTGATCCTTGAAGGACGGCCAGCCAGAGTTTTAAAAACAAAACCAAAAGAATTACCCCAAATCTAATGCTCACCCAGCTGTCTTTGGGAAAAAGATTGAAGAACTATGAATTACCAAGACCTATTATTATTTTAAATCTAATAGTGTTAAGGCGTTTAAAAAGACCAACTGAAGCATTCTCCATACTTCATTTGGGATAGGCACTGTATTTGATCACAAATACTTCACATTAAAGGAGCAAGTGCCTAACAAACATGATTTTCTCTAAATTGAAAGTAACACAGCTAGACATGCTTTGTCAATTGCTAAGTGCGTAGTTTATGGCTAAACCTGCCTGAGAACTGGTCTGAGCCTACATAAAAACCACAAAACAGACCAAATTTGTGTGTCACATGGCCTCCCCACACTGTGACTCTTCCACCCCCTCAACCAGACAGCAGCGGGGTCTGAGGCCAAGGAAACCAGAGCCTTTT